ACAAGTACCATCAGACTGGAAAGAAAGATACCTCACCAAATTACCAAAGAAAAGTGATCTCAGCAAGTGTGAGAACTACAGACGAATCACTCTTCTCTCAATACCAGGCAAATTATAAACAGGTTATTGTTAAACAGGATGAAGGACTTTGTGGACGCTCAAATTAGAGACCAACGGGCCGGATTTCGTAAGGATCTATCATGTAATGACCAAATTGCAGCATTACTGATCGTTGTGGAACAATCAATTAAATGGAACTCACCACTCTACATCAACTTCATCGACTACAAGAAAGCATTTGATAGCGTGGACAGGAAAACACTATGGAGGCTTCTTCGACACTACGGTGTGCCTGAGAAGATAGTCAACATCATACGCAATTCTTATGATGGATTAAACTGCAAAATCGAGCACGGAGGTCAGCTGACAGACTCGTTTGAGGTGAAGACCGGTGTCAGGCAAGGTTATTTACTCTCACTCTTTCTCTTTCTCCTGATGATGGACTGGATTATGAAGACGTCGAAATCTGGAGGAAAGCACAGGACACAGTGGACAGCCAGGATGCAGCTGGACGACTGGACTGGGCAGATGATTTGGCTTTTGTATCACACATGCAACAACAAAGACAACCAATGTAACAGCAGCCTCAGCAGCAGTCGGTCTCGACATACATAAAGGGAAAAGCAAGAATCTCCGATATAACACAACATGCACCAATCAAGTCACACCGGATGGAGAAGCTCTGGAGGATGTAGAAACCTTTACATATCTTGGGAGCATCATCGACAATCAAGGTGGATCAGATGCAGATGTGAGGGCGCGGATCGGCAAAGCAAGGGCTGAATTTCTACAATTGAGAAATATCTGGAACTCCAAACAAATATCAATCAACACCAAAATCACGATTTTCAATACAAATGTCAAGACAGTTCTACTATATGGAGCGGAAACTTGGAGAACTACGAAAGCCATCATCCAGAAGATACGAGTATTTATGAACCATTGTCTATGGAAAATACTTCGGATTCGTTGACCAGACACTGTCAGCAACAACCTAGTGTGGGAGAGAACAAACCAGATTTCAGTGGAGTAAGAAATCAGGAAGAAGCGCTGAAAGTGGATAGGATACATATTGAGGAAGGTACCCAACTGCGTCACAAGACAAGCTCTCACCTGGAATCCTCAAGGCCAAAGGAAAAGAGGGAGATCAAAAAACACATTACGCCGAGAAATAGAGAAAGATTTAAGAAGAATGAAGAAAAACTGGAAAGAACTGGAAGGGGAAGCCCAGGACAGAGTAGGTTGGAGAATGCTAGTCGGTGGCCTATGCTCTATTGTGGGTAACACGGGTAACACGATGCACTCATCTTCGCCATATTCATTTCAAGAATAACTCTTTTTGTACAAGTTAACGAACTGAATCTAGGAAGTAAGAGCTAGAAATTTTCAGCAGTCTAACTAAACGTCAATTTATACCAATAAAAATTATTTTAAAACCTCAAATATCAGGATGCTTGACATTCACACTTCAGTCATTCTTCTAACGGTTGAGGTCTATTGTACAGTACTGTAGATTTTCGCAAATGGAATTTAGTTTGCGAGAATAATTTGCAGTTTGTTCAATGATAGCTTCATTCTAGGGACAATAACTAGTTTAATTTCAAGCTACTGATACGTTTTATCGATCATTAGTTGTTGTTAGTACTGCTACTCCTCTTTTTGCATCCCCCTTTTTCGAACATCATTATCGTAACTTGGATCTGTGGAGCTTCTTTAAAAACTTGATCCATATAAACGGTCTTTAGGGTCACAATTTGTATGCTATGCCATTTTCAGATGGCGTATACTAGCTTTTAAATCACTGCATGCTTCCATCAAATAGACCAATACACCAGGCGGTTAGTGTATCTGCTCAAATACTCCTTCGTATAATTTCTTTGGCTGCATCCTTTTGATAACCTTTCTAAGTCAGTATCTTATTTGAATACCCATGTTGTAAATCATTGACCATACCTGTAAAGACTGCGTGAATCTGCTAAATAGATTAAGTGACAGAACTGATTTATAGAGACATTCAGCACACACAGTTATCTTAACCTTTGTTTCTTATAGATCTATTTGGTCGATGATTTCCTCCAGCAACCTTTCAGATAGCCCCTGTCGGTGAGAATCATTTAGCCAAATCCATTCCATTTATAATTTGCTCCTCATCGGTTATCGCCTTTTACTGTCTATCATTCTGTCAGTTCTATCTCTTGTTTTCCATCATAACGAGGATCTTTAACTCGTATATTATGAAACTGGAACCAATAACACTATCAACATGATACCAACTACTTAGGGCAGAGCTATGACATGATATATGATCAAAAATCATTTATCTTACAAATGGAGAGTAGTTATAGAATTTTGATCTAGTTCCATCCGTGGTTTCCAAGATGAATTTTCCTTATCGGATGACCATTCTCAAAAAACCAAGTGATTATGATTTGATAGGAAAAATTAAAGTTCGCCACTTACAGTTAAAAAGCATCAAAAATGTAACAGACTGTTTTATTCGGGCCTAGAAAACCTACCGGCCCGGCAAAAATAGCTGGAACACTGTTAACTGTCTTTCATGACCGCTCTCATGCAGCTAAGCAGAAAGATATTTCTGGGTCAGTTGGTCTATAATTCACCACTCTTCAGAATTAAAAAGTTTAAAAAATGCCATCCAGTGGACACCCTTTAAGGTTATAATTACCGATTCAATTAATCTATTTCCCTGAGACAATAAGCATCTATTTAATTTCATGTCCAAAAGAAAACCTACTGATCAAGGGTTGCGTTCTCTCAAAGGACTAAGCGGGGAAGACCTCACCAACCTAGAGATGGCCGAGATCTTGAACACCAACTTTTCTAACCAGGTAAACAAGGCGCCCACATGTTCACAGTACTACGCCAACCCACTGCTAGCTGACGGCTTAGTGAACATCCGCATCAATCCTGACTTAGTAATAAGGAGACTAAAATCTTTACGCCCAGGTAAATCACCAGGTTGTGACAAAATTCGCCCCATAGTCTTGCAACATTGTGAAGAAGTCCTCTGTTCACCGATATGTGACCTGTTGAGGCATTCACTGGAGTCACATCAATTCCCAGCTGAATGGAAACAAGCTACTCTCTCCAATCTTCAAAGGAGGAGGCAGAAAAGACCCAGCCTGTTACAGACCAGTCGCACTACTACCTATATTATCAAAGGTTATGGAAGGACTAGTGGACGAACATATGAGGGAGTACATGGATAAGAATAAAATACTCCATGAAGCTCAACACGGGTTTCGGAAAGGCAGGTCGAGTGCATCCAATCATTTCATTGCATGGAACAGTTGGACATCCTGTTTGGACCGTAAAATACCGGTGCACATAATATTTCTGGACTTTGCAAAAGCCTTTGACACAGTACCCCATGCACGCATAATCGAAAAGGTTGTGGAAACGGGCTTCACTGACCCATTCGTATCTTGGCTCAGAAACTACCTTCAGAATGGAAAGTTTCGCACCACGGTAAATAGAGTGCACTCGAGCTGGCGAGTGTCCACATCGGGAGTTTCACAGAGGGCCATCCTAGGCCCACTTCTCTTCCTAATATTTATTAAGGACCTGTTAGGCTTAGTTAGCTCAGCGGCACTGATCTACGCAGACGATCCGAAGATCTGGAGGTCCATTAGGAGTGAAGAGGATTCGACTGAGCTTCAAAAAGACCTCACATCTATTGAGAAATGGGCAGTGAAAAACGGTTTAAAATCCAACCAACCAAAGTGCCACGTCATGCATTTCCTGCCTCACACGACGCAAACGATCAATACCCTCAATTGAAGTCCGCTCCCTAATTTCTCCTCAGAGCGCGATCTTGGTTTAATAACAACAGAAAGCCTCCACACCAGTCCAAACTATGTAGAGTACGCAGCCACGGCAAATGCGACTCTTCACTTTATGCGAAGACAGCTTGGTGCTATAACCCCGAAATTATTTTTAGCCCTGTTTAAGACGTACGCGCGCCCACTCTTCGAGGTTCACAACGTCATCGCATCCCCTCTGCTTAAAAGAGACATAAATCTCTTGGATCGAGTGCAGAGATGAGCAACGAAATGGGTGATAGGATTGAAAAATAAACCCTAAGACGATAGACTCCAGCTCTTGGGATTATTTCCACTGAGCTACAGGCCAAACCATCCCGATGTGAGCATCTTACCGATGGATCACCACCACTCCCCTCGAAAGATTGCACATCAAAGAGCAAATACTCAGATTCGTGCACACTTTTTCTCATTGCGAGTCGTCGCAACTTGGGATGCTCTCCCATCCGAGGTACTCACAGCCCCTCAGTTAAAAGCTTTAAGAAGAGACTTGATAATCACGTACTCCCTCTTGGACAAGCTGTTCATGATGCATATCTTGAGACCTGCTAGTTAATATCATCGCCACCTCCTTAGATCACTTACCTAATCTTTTTATCCTCTCATCTATTTTCTCACCCTTCTTTACTCTAAGGTCGTCTCACAATCTTCACTACCAGTTAACAAACTAATTTCATCTATATACTACTCATTCCTGAAATTTTATTCATATTAGAATTAGAATTTTATCCTTATTACCCTTATTACTCTCCACATTGCAACGAACTGATCTCCGGTCTGGTAATGTGACGGCTGCTAGTATCCAGAAACCCTACTGCCCTGAAATAAACGTTTTCATTCGAATCCCGAGACATACAAACTCACAACCAACTGCCAACTGAGTAGAATTAGACAGTCGAGTGGCTAGACCTCCATCCATTGGACATTATCGAACACCTGGAACCGTACCGAAAGAACAAGAATCCGGCGCGAAGAAATCAACTGGTTTACACTAGCTCGTGAAAAAGCTATTGGATATTGGAAGAACATTCGCAAAAACTGAGGACACGCCAACTTGAAAGTGATTGCCAAATTCACTAGAACTAGCACAAATGAATGAATGGAATATACTAAATAGATGATATCCAATTAAGTAAACTGCTCGTTAAAGGTATTAGATATCGTTACCGAATATGGAGTGAGTGTTTGTTTGAATCAATCAGTACTTGTCATCCTAATATCGCAGCATTTTAAGTTTGTTTCGGCATGTCGCTTAGGCCGGACCGGAGTGTAGGTAATGTAATAAATCTTGCCAATCAACTAGCATCGTCTGTTGGGATCAGTACACTGGAAAGCATATCTGAAATCAACATAGATTTTTTTGAATCTATACTGGAAAACATCAGTGACTTCAAAAGTGATGGTAAGGGTGATTTACTGTTTATTTATTACGAATTTTAGCTACTTTAGACTACAAAACTCGATGGAACTATCTGTTGCAATCACTTTCCAGCCTAATAGGCATTCCTCTTGAGTATATATCCATCAGATATTTACGCAGATTCGATCTCAATGTTCTGCACAGTCTTCTTGAAATAATTGACCTATTGACACAAAACATTCTTGTTCAGAAAAACGCTTTTCGAACGTTAAAACAAGCACATAATAAAAGAACGTAAGTTTGGGTGAATAAGAAATACATATTTTAAAAAGTCATAAATTTAACCACTTGAGGTCATTTACTGATTGTAGAAATTCCCTATCAGAATACAGGACAGCTTACTTGTTGACATTGGTTAACTAGTTTATTAAGTAACCATTTGAAACTACGGTAGGTCCTCAAAAGTGTTTACCAGTAGTTTCCCTGACAAGAATTTTTGATTGTTAGTTACTTGATGGAAAATGCATAAAGAACATATTAGTAATCTTTTCACCATTTGAAATAGTAGATTTTAGTAAAAAGGATCGAAGTGTATGTGCTCATATTTATGAACTGCCCTTATTAAAATACCTGCAAGATTCGAATTTCGATTATGTTTACAAGTTTTCATGGCTTTAATCAATTTTATTATAACTTTACAGGACACTTAACTACGTTCGCTATCATATGGATAGTTAGATACATATCGAACTTAGACGAATCAAGTAAAGATGAGCTATAAAAAATCTTGAAAGAGGATATCAACAAAGATGGCAGGACTAATAGTGAGTTATATTGAGAAAGCGATGTAGTCGATCTTAATGTGTTGTGCCTGAAGGGATCAATAATTTTGTAAAACTAATTCCAACTGTTATTCTTGTTTGGTTATGGTAGAGTGTTTGTTAACTCAAATTGATGGGTTTCTTGGATGAATTCCTGACTCCCAGTCCCACTTAAGTCTGCAAGTTATCAGTGTTAATTTTAATAGATCTGTAGTGTGTGTACTCTCATGTCGAACCTTTGGACAATTTAATCAATCCATCCCTCTCGAGTTACTCACACGTTTTCCGACCTTGCCAACTATTCGCATTTATCTTGGTTGTTTTAATTTGAGTGTGTGCTCTGCTTTGCTTATCGCATGTCTGACTTATTATTGTATTGAGAAGACTGAGGCAGGCTCAATAGATTGTATTTGGCAAATTTACACTCTTAGTCAATTAAAAACGATAACATTACATTGAACACTCCATTTGCACACCATCTTTGAGTCCTGACTTCCAACGCTCCAGCCTTCTTCCATTCCTGCTGTTGCTTCCTTTACTTCCTGTCGGTGCTCTATTTCTTTCTTGCTTTTGCTCTATTTGCTTTCCGTTTTCCTCTTCTGACCGTAAGACTTCTTCACTTCCATTCTTATACTACTTATATCGTTCGTATAAGTAGCACACACCACACTCGTCCCCCCTTTAACAAGTCGCTCTCTCAGCCTTTCTGATCTCCGTACAGCCGTCTTCTTTATCAGTGTTTGTGGCTCGCCCTCTTGGCGCACTTGGAACCACCTTTGGAGTTCACTGGCATTCACGCGTTTCTGTTTGTTTCCTTTCTGGATCGTATACACTGCGCCGCGCCTCTCGGTTACTACGTACGGTCCCTCCCACTTCGGGATCAGCTTGCCTGACCCTGGCCCTCTTCCTGTGGTACATTTCCGTTCTCTACACTTCACTTGGTCTCCCACTTCAAACGGTCTCCAGTTCTTTCTCTCCTGTTCTGACTTCTGCATGTCTGATGTTTGTTTCTCTCTCACATTCCTGATTGCTTGTCTCCGCTCTGTTCTCAGTCTTGTTGTATTCCACCTCTGTTGTTGCGGCCAGGTTTTATCATGCGTTGGTAGTCTCGGCCGTCTGCCATACATCAGCTGGAACGGTGACTTCCTGGTTGTTCCCTGTGCCGAGGCACGATGTGCCAGCAAGATTAATGGTAATTCTTTCTCCCAGTCACCCCCTTTAGATGCTAGCCATTCCTTTAGCGTTCGGTTATTCCTTTCCGTTAACCCATTCGTCTGTGGATGATACGGCGTTGTTCGTACTCTCTTGATACCTAACTGCTTTAGACGGGACTTGAACTCATCACTCTCGAAACAGGCACCTTGATCGGTTAATATTATCTTTGGTATCCCATGGTCAGCCACAATGTGCCGCATTACCGCTTCCGTCACCGTCCTTGCACGTTGGTCCGCCATCGGCACGGCATTTACCCATCGTGTGGCATGCTCAGTCATCACCAGCAGGTACTGGTTACCACTTGTCGTCTGTGGGAACGGTCCCATAATATCTACTGACCACAAATCACCAACTGCTGTTACTGGAATTGACTGCAATGGCGGTCGTATGCATCGATCCCCTTTCATTAGTTGACATCGCTGGCACGCTAATACATATCGTGCAACATCGTCTCTCATACCTGGCCAGTACGCACTTTGTCGCAGCAAATCAGTTGTCCGTGCAATACCTGTGTGCGCTACCTGGTGACATTCACGAATCATGTCCTGGCGCAGATCTTTTGGGATTATTGCTACCCAATTCTCGTCATCATCCCGCCAGGTCAAGGCTCCGTATCCGTTCACTCTCAGTCTCTCCTTCTGCCTCAGCAACACTGTTAATTCTTTATCTGTTCCACTCTTGTCAACATCTTCTCCCTCTTTTATCACTCTGATTACCTCCCGAAGGTTAGGGTCGGCTTTCTGATGCCGGACGAGTTCTAGGGGATCTCCCTCTAGGCCGTTAACTGCACACGCTATCTCTGGAAGTTCGGCTTCGGTGTCCGGTCTTGACAAATAATCTGCCATTACATTTTCCTCCCCTGGCACATGCCCGATGCTGAAATCATACTCCTGCAGACGTAGCATCCATCGAGCCAACTTCCCCCGAGGGTCTTTTGCTGTTTTCAACCATTGTAGGGGCTTATGATCCGTCTCGATGTGAAATCGCCGACCCAGTAGATACGGTCTCCATTTGTCTACAGCCCATACAATCGCTAAACACTCTTTTTCTACTGTGGAATACTTCTGTTCTGTCGGCGTAAGGACGCGGCTGGCATACTCCACCACTCTGTCAGACTGCCTCAAGACCGCACCTATACCGTGATCGCTCGCATCAGTGGCCACTGTAAATGGCTTCTCGGATTCCGGCAGTCTCAGCGTCATTTGGCGGTCATCTAACAGCTCTTTGATTCGGTCGAAAGTTTGTTGAGCGGTCTCTGTCCACGTAAACTTCGCATTGCTTAGCACTTTATATAGAGGTGCTGCTATATCGTTGAAGTTCTTCACGAATCTGCTGTAGAACGCCGCTCTTCCCAGGAACTGTCTTAACTTCCTTTTTGAGTTGGGAACTGCAATATTCTTTATCGTTAGAATCTTCTCCGGCAGTGGTTTTATCTCTGTCACGTTATTCAGTTCTCTAAAGTCAACACAGAATCTATACTTTCCATTTGGCTTCTTTACCAAAAGTACCGGTGAGCTGTACGGGCTATCTGCTTCTTCAATTATACCTGCTTTTAACATCTCCTTTTCCTGCTGGTTTATCTCAGCTTCCAAATGTACGGGGACCCGTCGTGTTGTGAAGATGGTTACTTCTTCGTTCTTTATCGGAATTTCATGTTTGACTTTATTACAAAACCCGTACGGTTCTCCGTCTCCCGTGAACAACTTCTTATATTTTGTGAGCACCTGGTTAATGTTCTGTTTCTTTCCAATGTCCTCTTTTGCTACTCTAACCTCAGCCACCTCGCTGCTTTCATGTATTGTCAGTGTGCCGTACTTTGTAATCACCTTCTTACTTCTTGTATCAATAATTGCTCCTACTTCTCTCAAGAAATCTGCTCCTAGTATTGGTCTCGACAAGTTCGTAGTCACTACAAAGGGAAACTGTATTTTCGAACTGCCGATTTTCACGATATCATTTGAGACTCCGAGGATTTTTAACACGTGGCCGCCGATGGTGTTAACAACTAATGCACTCGGCCTGATACCTCTACACCGCTCTTTGTCTATTAACGAAACTGCCGCCCCTGTATCAATCAGGCAAACTACCTCTCGCTCGTTTATCCCTACTCTCGCATAGACCGCCCCCTTATCTACTAATGCGGAAACCCCCAGTTTCGAAAGACATAAAGAACAACTTGTGTATGGTCTAAAATATTTACGTCTTCGTCTTGTTGGGCAATTCCTCTTCCAATGTCCGGTTCCTCCGCAAATGTAGCATTTATTATTTCTTTCACCCTTTATTCGTAACGCTGCCACCTCTCGTTGTAATTCTTCTATCTTCTTCACGACATCATTAGCCTGTCTCTCACACGCCACCGAGGCGACTGTTGAGTTCATCAGTTGTCTTGTTACTTTCGCCAGCTCGGTGACGTCCATTGGTTGTGCCGCGTTCACCAGTCTCAACTGTTGGCCAACCTCTGCAGGCACACTTTCAATGAATTGCGAGGCTAGCTGCTGTGCCTGAGACTCCTCATCCAAATTCGGCAGACCCTGGCGCAGCAATCTTGTCAACTCCACGGCCAGCACGAGTGGGTCGCCGTCCACCGACAGCCGCGCCTCTCGGAACTTCTGCAGCGCGTCCTGCCTATCCACCGGGCTGTCGAACTCCAACAGCAGCCTTTCCGTCACCGCCTTCCAGTCAGCGTCCTCCACACTATCGTACACCGCTCTCGCCCTGCCTCTTAGTAGAGTCCCCAGCACCACCGCCTTCGCCTTCCGTTCCTTGACTCCGACCAGCTCCGCCACAGCCTCGAACTCCTTCAAGAAGCTCTTTACATCTCCGTCTTCAAACTTTCGAGGCCATGGTATCTTCATCCCGTGTAGAGGCAGCGACACCAATAGAGAAGACTTAGGCAGGCTCAATAGATTGTATTTGGCAAATTTACACTCTTAGTCAATTAAAAACGATAACATTACATTGAACACTCCATTTGCACACCATCTTTGAGTCCTGACTTCCAACGCTCCAGCCTTCTTCCATTCCTGCTGTTGCTTCCTTTACTTCCTGTCGGTGCTCTATTTCTTTCTTGCTTTTGCTCTATTTGCTTTCCGTTTTCCTCTTCTGACCGTAAGACTTCTTCTTTCACTTCCATTCTTATACTACTTATATCGTTCGTATAAGTAGCACACACCACAGTATGACTATGAATGCTTAGTCATGCCCCATTACAATGAGTTGGCTCACTCACCTCCTCCACTTCAATTCGCTTTGCATTAACGCTTTATATTCTCATGTCTGTCTGCACGAACGATTGCCTTAGATAAACTCATCCAACCGAATCCGTAGTTAGCTTCTAGTTACCTCCGTCGCACAAACGGGGTTCGCCTAAGTGTGATGTTCGGGAACTGAAGGGGAGATATATTTCACAGCATAAATAAAGGAGTAGTATCATGGGCTACTAAAGTGGTAAGCTCTACATAAAATCTAACACAGTCCACTAAAGATCGTGCAGCGACATTTAAACAAAACCCTTGATACTCAGATATGTTTTGTTTACACATACTATTACAGAAACTAGGAGTGACAAGCGTTCAAGGGGTTTTATTTGTAACGCTCGGCAATGCACTTGGAAAGCCTATGTGGTGTTCGAGTAGAGAGCTTGTATAAGGTTAACTTACTTCTTTGGTACACCTTCCAATGACAGACACTGCCACAGAACTTCACGATCCACTGAGTCAAATGCCGCCTTTAGGTCCAGGAACACTACTATTGTCGGACGTCTAAATGTGTGTCTGTGTCCCAGGACCTGTCGTAGTGTGAAGATGTGGTCTATACAACCACGTCCAGGTCGAAAACCAGACTGGTTTTCTCGAGTCTGCTCTTCACGAGCTTTCGTTAGGCGTCGAAGTATTTATTGAGGTCAATATTTTAGAAACTATAAGATCATCCTTTTCCGAAACAGTATCACTCACATTGGAGTTCATAATACCAGTTTCATTGATAAGTTGGTACAACTGTCTGTTGTTGACTATCGCCGCTGCCTTTTCCATCGCTTTTGCTTTCACCACCCACCACTGTTCACAGTCGTTACGTAGGCTTCATATCAGCCTGCACTTAAGCTGACTTCGTTCTTCATCATGTTCAGAGTCAGGTGGGATGCGTTTTCGAGCATCCATCAGTTCGGTGGATGCTACAGAGATCCACGGCCTCATTCTAGCCTTGGGGTTAACCTTACTAGCAGATATCACTGCTGTTTCCACAGCCTTTTTGATATCATTCCAAGATGCCTCCGGATGGGAATCACTTACGTGGTTGCTTAACTCTCTTTCTAATTGTTCCTGGAATATTTTCTTAGCCTCATTATCATTAAGTAGAGTCCTAAGAGGCTTCCTTGCGATGTCTTTCCTACGTCCAGTAAGCCTCAAACAAATACGCGCTCGCACCAGGGCATGGTCTGAATCTAAACATGTGCCACACGACGAGCGACAGTCCTCTATCGAACCCCTCCATCGGTGGCTGATGGCGATGTGATCTAGTTGGGTCCAACGTTGAGACGACTTTGGGGGTCGCCAGGTTAACACAGACGTTTTTCCTTATACCTAAAGTTAGTGTTTGCTAGAAATAGGCGGTTATCTGAGCATACTTGCAACAGACGGTCGCCATTGTCTTTTCTTTGAGCCGCGACACCATAACATCCACCAAGGTGTCTCTCCTGTTCACTTAGTCTACCTACTTGAGCATTGAAGTCACCAGCCATTATTAGTACATCGGAGCGCCTAGCTTTTGGGAGGAGGTTCGAAAGTTTTCTGTAAAACTCATCTTTCATCTCGTCTGAACTGCAGTCGGTGGGGGCGTAGGCAGATACGACGAAGAGGCAAAGACGGGTGTCCCAATTTTTTCGAATCCTTACTGTCCCGTTCAGTGTTAGCTCTGCTCTTGAAAGCCCTTAGTGATCACTCTTACCGACGGAGACGTAAATCTGTGAGGTAGCTTCAGGTGTGACATTTTTAGAGTCGACCTTTTCTAACGGCTTCCTTCCTTGTGAGAAGGCAGCATCGCTGCAGATGCTGGTTGTCAGAGGAAAACGTCTTACTGCTCTCATATCTCTCTGCAGTCAGCAGTACGACTTCGCCCTCAGACCTTGGGTAGCTGCTTATATTCTCATCGTTCTCCAACCGACCTGCCTGGCATGGTAGAACCTTCCGGAACATGTGTTCCAGCCAATATAACTCGGTTAGGTCATCACGATAGGCAAGCCCGACCACCACGTCAAGGTGGCGGCTACGGTCGGGAAATATGTTTTGTGATTTAGTAATGGGAATATAGCTAGAGGCAGTCAAACCACAAAACATGGCACAAATCCATGATTTATGCTACCTACAACGAAGCTTGTTGGTGGTTTGCGGTGCGTATGCAACAGTGTGACCCCTAATGAACTGACAAAGCAAAGAGTGTCGGATCTGGACCCATTGCTCAATTTAAGTGTTTTGAAAAATGGATGATATATAGAGGAGGACAACCAGGAATATGCTTGTTTTGCAAATAATTGTTTTATGTTAAGGTGTACATATTTTCGTTTGTAAACTGAATTTTGTTCTGCTTGGTCTTACGTTTGCGTTCACCACATTGGTAGTAGCTCTATGGGAGATCGTGGTGTAATTCCAGAAATTGAGAATAAACCCCAAGGTGATTGGTAAAAGGTTAGTCAAGATGAAATCCCGTATACAATTGTGAAAGCTTAGTTATTTACCTTAGCACTGAACATAAAACGCTTTTTGAACAGTTGAATCTTAAAGTAGCTCCTATTTGCAGATTCATGACTTATGCTGACGTGACCATTTATTATTATCATCTTCATCTATTTAGACATCCAGATGAATTGTATCGAATTGAAACGGTTTGTGATTCTCACTCTCAACAAAATTCTTCACTTCACGAATCGCAAACTTATCTGGAATCACAATCATACGATAACATTGAATGTAATTTACACAGTATGGATAGAACTACAGCAGGTAATAATACTACTAGGCTGGCTTATCTTCGAGAACAACCTGGTATTCTGTTTGATGAAAATAATTCAAAATCTGATGGTGCCTCTACATTAACCCGGTCAAACTCATTTAATATTGAACAGGTAGATACACTAGATTTTTGTGATCTCAGTCATCGTGTTATAAGCTTTTGCAACTAATTCTTATAAAAAAGGGCTATGAAGTCAGACTTTTGTATACTAGTTGTCGTCAAGCAAATTATGCTAGACTCAAAATTTGGAAAATTCACCAGAACCAAATATAGAAATACTTTGTTTCGAGATTTATGACCTTCATTTATTTTTCCGGTTACTGTAATTACTGACCATTTTATTTAAAACTGATAAGCAATTTTGAAGATAGTTGCTGTCATAAACTTAAATTAGTTGGGTAAGGTACACTTGGAAGGTTTGTTCTAGTCAGTTACTTACCATCAGTGTGCATTCATAACTCCTCCTGAAGAAGGACACGCCTTTAATTCGAATTAATCTCTGCAATCCACTAGATAAAACTGTAGTTGTATATGTTAGTGACTTACGAGAGAACTGACTGGTGGAACTCATCAAACGTCATGACATTTCTTCTCCTAAATCAATACATATCGGCAACTATGGATATACATCCGATTTGAACAATATTAAAATACTGGATAGAAGGAGTACAAAGAACGCTGGAAAATTCTTAAAAGCTTGGTACTCAAGTTAATCAGCAATCAACAAACACATCGATATTGACCCTATTTATCAACCACTCGGAAAAATCATAAACAAACAGATTAAAGGGTGACAGAATCAAAATAAAGGTGCAGACAACGACTGGTTTATGGTCAACAGCAGCCAATCAAGATCGAGGTCAACAAAACAAGCTGCGAGTCATTCGTGGAGAAATTCGAATACTTCACTTCTCTCTGTAGTTTGTGTTGATGTTGTTCAGAAGATCAGTGATTGTTCCACAACCACAACCTCCAGCTCAGAGAACGGGATTCATCTAGGTCTGAAGTGGATTGGTTGTTTACCGATAACATCAAGTGTTTGTTCCATTAAACCACGGATTAATTGAAGTAAGAAACAGTGACCACTGTATCCTGATGCTGTGACCTCAGTATTACGTGCGATCACTGGCACGGTTGAGGATATGGCTAAAAAGGTGCAGGCCGGACAGGAAGATTTGTTTGGTTCTTCCTAGTTTTCAGCTGCTGTCTAGCCTACAGTAGTTTGTGACTGAAGTCATCTTCACACTAGACTAGTTTCCGCACACTATCCGATCACTATAGGACGAATTTTTACGATGTTAGGTTTTATCAATCTAAAGTGATTATTTGAAGACTATTTTTGGCATATAATCATCGATAATACTTACGTTCAAACCGTATATCTATTACATAATAAACTTTTAATCATATAACCACTAGATTGAGTATTAGTGTTGTAGTCTATAAAAATCTGCATTCTAGTGACACTCAAATAATTTTACTCCCAATCAGCAATTTCATTAGTTGATAACAACCTGAAACCTTTAAAAACCTACCGATTTTTCTAAGATGAATTACTTGAGTACACAGATGTGGTACCATTTTCGATTCCTACAATGCATTATGGCTAACCTGCAACTGACTGTAAGTAGAAGTCATTTTTTGAAACACAATCAGTCTATAATAATATGAACTATGATTTTGACCATCAGGGATTTCTGATGACTATGGGACTTACAAGTGAAATGAAACGTGATGATGGGAAAACCAAGCTTTTACTGACATAATCAAGTAACTTGATATCAAAGCAACTAAATGAATACTTGTTCGCGTTAAATTTCTTATTTTAACGTTTAAAAGTTGATACAAATTGTTTTGGAAATTAAGTGATAAAGACAGATATATTATTCTAGCTGGTTGTATGAGGAAACCCATGCAACACTAAATACTACTTTTAAGTTTTATTCACTCTAAATCTGTTCAAATCTCTTATCTGAGTTTACTTTATTCCCCTCTAAAATGTAATGTCAGATAAAACGTTCTTCTCTGAACAATTACAACTGTGGCTGCAAAAGTGTAGTTAAATTACATGCCAAACCTCTAGTGGATCCAGTACATGTCAAAACCAGTAAGCATTCAACTATACCCCATCCAATCAGTTTTACTGAAGAAAATGAAAATCTGTCTAATCAGCTGTTCCATGAATTGTTAGATGCATTTCCTAAAATAGATTTAGATGAACACGAAGAGCGCATTTTGCGCAAAAAGGCATGTGAGTGGAATTTTTTGGAGACAGGTTTTTATTGATAAAATTTCTGTTTATTGATTACGATAAATTTTCACTCGATGATAAAATAAAATCACGTTCACTGTTCAGTGCATTAGTTTTTGACCCATCATATCTTAGTTTGTTAGTATCACAATTTGTATTAAAAGAATGAAGATAAAATTTCCGATGAAAGTTTGATGAACATCTATTCGAATGAAATAAACGAATCACTATCCTTTGAAGAGGTGAGTTGAATGTAAGGAATTAAAGAACTCCTTGTAACAGTGAGTTCAATTAACCGATAATTACTTCGTTAGTTACCCCAGATATCACTATTTCCTGTATTATTTGAAACACGATAATCTACTTTAAAGTGTTGTATGTCTGCTATTCTAAAATAACGGTTTTTGATAGTTTGTTTTTATTTTAGTGAGTCTTTAACTGCTCTTTTTTGGCGATTATTTAACTGCATACCAAACACATAGGATAGGTCTATTCACAATATACCCTAGTGGAATGAAGAATATTAGTGTCTTTTGTCCATCACAACTTTCTGTCTGGGATCGTACATGTCATGGAACTTGGTAGCTGAACACGTTACATTCTTTATGAACGTGAAACTTATTCTATAACTTTATAAAATCAACTTCGGTTGTTTGCTTTTAGTTACTAATATTATTGTTAGTCTGTTGATTATTAATAACGTCGTCAGTCCCTTTCCCATAGCCCTGATTTTGGCTCCTTGTTTATGTAATATAAATAAATGAATAAATCACCAATTAGTTTGGTGTTTTTACCACAAACTTATTAATCTCATGATAATTAAATCCACACATTTTGGAACCATGAATCGATCAGTGTTAGACCATCATTAGAAACCTGGAAGCACTGGACGGTCGTTTCGTTCTCGTATGGGACTCATCAGCAGTGCGCATCTACGAATCCTACACTCCGCAGGATTCGAACCCAGGACCCTCGGTATTGTGCGCGAACACCTAACCCTTGGACCACTGAGCCGGTATCTAACAGTGTTAATGTCTTCTTAAAAGGTTATTTTAAGACATAAAGATCAATAGTTTGGCTTCAGTAAAGAAGATTAATTTCAATTATGAAACAAGTTTCATTGAAACTGACTGGAATTATTTTAAACAGAGTGAGATGTAGCTCTTTCCTCTTCAACATGAAATTCAATCAACAGCTGAGTAAAATATCACCCTTTCCCTTAATTTAACAAATAAAAACATTTAGATACTGATTGCAGAGACAGAGTGTACATGCGGTACTTATGGTTGACTAAACTGTAAAATTTTCAGAGGACTTCCGTATGCTCCGATCATTCAGGGATTGTCAAATTTACTGATTTCAGTATAGTTTTTCATAAAATAAAAATATACTGATTACTCGAAATTTTTCGATGTCCATAAGAACGATTGATGATCCATCAGTTTCCTTTTAGATTTTATAATTTGGATTTGTCAAGGTGATTGTGATTTTTAATTAAGTTATTACATTCATGTACTAATTGAGTTCTTGCTTTAAAAATTATTGACCTCGTTTATTTTCAACTTTCTTTCGTATTCGTTACTGAAATTAGTTTAATACCTATGATAGATTGCTTCATAATTTGCATTTCATGGTCATTAAGATAATAATTACTTAATCATGCTTATTAAATAATGACGTTACTACTATATAGTAAAAAGCTCTTTAACAAACATGCTTAGTTTTCATCTGTCGTAGTATTGTTATTGAATTTATGTCATCTCAGTTTTTAATTGTGGCAAAGATCTGTTTTCCTAATACTACTACTACTACTACTACTACTACTACTACCACAATCATGATATTTTTGTAATCTGAACCTTACACTCTTTAAATTCTTTCCTTTATAAACATAAAGTAAGTGTTATGAGACAACTCTCAGGCAATGCCTCTGCTGGTCTATCCCCTATTTCTATTCCCAAATCTGAGTCACAAAAGATTGAAGAACGACAGAGACGTCGTCTTGCACAGTTAGTTCGTCATGATCGTCAAATCGAAAATCTCAGACAACAAAGAGCAAGTGAAACTGTCGAGAGACGTATTCGAGAAGAAGCTAGAGAGCGAAAACTTCAACTGATTAGAGCTCGCAAATATTTTGACGAATTTGTCCGTGAATTTCGTCTGAAAAAAATTGCCAAGATTAATACTGATGAACAGGTAAGTATGTAAGTCTATAAAATATAGTATTCTTATTGTTTCATGTCATACATCTTCTTAGTAATAACTTTAAACTATTAGTTTTTTCTACAGCATTCTACAAGTTGTGCGATGCACTTGAAATTCGTCAAGTTAAACCGCACAAATGTATGTTAGTACAGCTTTACAATTAACTCTCTGTGACGCTCAAGTAATCATATTGAAGCAACAGTAAAAACAAACTGACTCAATGTGTTATACAGATATAATTATTTGTGCGTGAATAGTCAAAAACAAGTAGAGTAATGGTTTTAGACTCGTTTGAGGTGAAGACCGGTGTCAGGCAAGGTTATTTACTCTCACTCTTTCTCTTTCTCCTGATGATGGACTGGATTATGAAGACGTCGAAATCTGGAGGAAAGCACAGGACACAGTGGACAGCCAGGATGCAGCTGGACGACTGGACTGGGCAGATGATTTGGCTTTTGTATCACACATGCAACAACAAAGACAACCAATGTAACAGCAGCCTCAGCAGCAGTCGGTCTCGACATACATAAAGGGAAAAGCAAGAATCTCCGATATAACACAACATGCACCAATCAAGTCACACCGGATGGAGAAGCTCTGGAGGATGTAGAAACCTTTACATATCTTGGGAGCATCATCGACAATCAAGGTGGATCAGATGCAGATGTGAGGGCGCGGATCGGCAAAGCAAGGGCTGAATTTCTACAATTGAGAAATATCTGGAACTCCAAACAAATATCAATCAACACCAAAATCACGATTTTCAATACAAATGTCAAGACAGTTCTACTATATGGAGCGGAAACTTGGAGAACTACGAAAGCCATCATCCAGAAGATACGAGTATTTATGAACCATTGTCTATGGAAAATACTTCGGATTCGTTGACCAGACACTGTCAGCAACAACCTAGTGTGGGAGAGAACAAACCAGATTTCAGTGGAGTAAGAAATCAGGAAGAAGCGCTGAAAGTGGATAGGATACATATTGAGGAAGGTACCCAACTGCGTCACAAGACAAGCTCTCACCTGGAATCCTCAAGGCCAAAGGAAAAGAGGGAGATCAAAAAACACATTACGCCGAGAAATAGAGAAAGATATAAGAAGAATGAAGAAAAACTGGAAAGAACTGGAAGGGGAAGCCCAGGACAGAGTAGGTTGGAGAATGCTAGTCGGTGGCCTATGCTCTGTTGTGGGTAACAAGCGTATGCACGTAAGTTATAGTAATTTAACACACATTTTAATAGTTGATATAACTTTCAGATTAATATTCTACACTCCCGACTACTCTATGACTCATTTACCATGTACTAGTTCACGTAACGTGTTTTAAGATTCACTATAGTCATGTCAGATGTAGTCATAATACTTAGTCTTTCAAACCTAAGCAGATGGAGTATGGTTTGAGTCTTTTAACTGGCTGACATCTAAGACCTTTAACTAACTAATCATTGCTTTTTAAATAAACAAGTCATTTTTATTACCAATTAAGTAAACTTTTGCCGGACAGTTATTTTGAAATACAAGAAGATAACATCGATTGTGTATTTCTGTCAGATCAACCTGCCGTATATGTGAATTGGGATTTTTGGCGAGTCTTATAGATGATAATGTTTGTAGCATCTCAACATTTATTCTTCAGACTTCAATGATTTGTCATTTAAATTATTCTGTAATTGTATCGGTTATTGTATATGTGATTGAGTGTGGACGCCTTATCGCTTATTACATGTCTAACCCATTACTGCTTGACTATAAATGCTTAATCATTCTTCAGCTCGTAGAGAGTTGGCTCACTCACCTTCTTCAGTTATCTTCGTTTTGCTTGTGCGCATCCCATTATCATATTTGTATGCATAAGTGATGGCATGAAATAAATTCATCCGCAAAACCGTATTTGGCCTTTTTTTTTACCACCGTCGCAAAAACGGGGTTAGTCTAAGTAATAATATACGGAAGTGGAAAGGAAGATTTATTTCATCACATACGCGATCATTCGTCCACAATGGAGTCAAGTCGTGAGCCGCTAAACGGTCACTAACATTAAAATATTAAAGAAAATTCTATAAAGTTGCTAATAATTTTTATTGTCTAACAATAGGATCAGTATTTTATATTCAACTTTTATTCAATTTAAATTCATATTGGTTTTCTAACTTCATTTAAGATATTTCGACAGTTTTTCCAACAATTTGTTCAAAAACAAAAAGAATATTTTATTGAAATGCGAAAACTAGAACGAGAAGAAAATCTGCAGAAAGAAGAACAACGAAGGAAAATTATGGAATCTTTAGAACACGAGTAATAACATATTTTTATGTCATTTCAGTTCAGATGAAGTCTTATAATAATAGTTGTTAGCTATATTTCAAGGTTTTTTGCTAAGAAAAAATGCTTACTTGTTATAAAATAAAAAATCTTAGTTTACTTACATTACAAACTGACTGAAGAAATATTTCTTGTTAATTAGTTCCCCATTCTAGATGTACATTAATATGTAGGCATAGTGATGAATTATCAATCAATTCCAAGTAGATGGTAGTGTATCAGTTTAAAATTCTGTATCAGTATTTTCTTTAAAGATAGTTCTCAGTTCGTTGCTCAATAAACATACAATTAAAAATAATATTAAATTGCACAATCGGTTGAGTATTAATGTAATTGTGTTTTGATTTTAAATCCGTTGAATTAATAACTGTCACTAAAATCTTGAGAGAAAATATGAAGATATATTTTCGAACTGATACACCATTTACTAAGTATATATTTTAAACTTAAATATCAGTGTGGATTTGTGGTAACGATCTAATTGAAAAAATATTTCTTCCTGCCAGTCCTACTTTTATTTATACTGAATGTATTTTTCAATGTGTTGACTGTATATTACTAAAGTATCAAGTGTTTATGGAGAAGCAACATGTACAACAGATTATGGTCACTGTCATCTTTTTACACTGTAAAACAAGCAGACATATTACTTTTTCAGTAACCATTATGTTAGATTTTGGTATTAGAACAAATTTCATAGTTGGCATCACGGATTGATATTAATTAACCAACTATTAAAAACCAGAAAGCACTGTACAGCTTTTTCATCCTAGTATGAGACTCATCAGCAATAAGTATCTGAGATCCCACCGATAAGAATCAAACTCAGGACTTTCAGATCTTCTTATGACCACCTAACCTTTAGACAACTGGGCGGGCTACTTTATGGAAATGTGTTTTAATGAACAAAAGTGAGAACTTATATATTACTTAATGATTCTATCACTTTTCACTACGGGTTTAATTGTTCTGTTTTAACCTTTTGATAATTTTATGTCTCCCTGAAAACCATAGACATCGTATTCGCTTAGAATTAATGAATGAAAAGTTAAATAAAGAACGAGATGAACAATCAATTCGTATGCGTGAAGCACAAAAAGTATGCCTAAATTCAAATATTTATTTTATCGTGTAGTGTAACAAGCATAAAATAATCAACATGTTAATGAAATTCATAACTATATGCTATTTCTTGATTACACACTTTGCATATATTGTTTTCAAACATTTTAACTGAACCTTAATTATCTTTTTAAAATATATTGTTATGTTTATTTTTACAATCTTTCATAAAGCGATATTCATAGTATTATCTTTTCTCAGTGTACTGTTATAAATAATCGTAGGTGCGACTTACGATTGCTGTAACCGTTCGGTATCTTTAGGACTAAAAAATTGGCTTCATCTCGCTGTATAATAGGTGGTGAAACAATTTCATTTGTACGAGATACTTTTAGTTTATTATACTTTTACCAAAAAAGTTTTTTAGTGGCTCAAGTCATTGTGTTAATCCGGAAACTGAATGGGAATGTTTTGGTGCAAACCATAACAACTGGATTTCAAATACAATACTTATATTCACATTTGGTGACGAGATAATAATGCTTACTTACTATCATGTCTTTCTCACTGGCTAACTATTTTATCATCGTTTTAGCATTTCATTTATCACTTTGCATGTTATAATCGACTATAGTGCAAAGTCTTTCCCTCCAGTTCTTAAACTTCACTATTTTGTATTACCATTGATTCACCAATAATGATATCGCTTCGGAAACATGTGACAAATATCGGTCTTTAAAATAAATCTGATTCTGTTTCAATAAAATTTAGAGTTAATATAGTTGCTTTGTTAATTAAGTAGTATACGATAATTCGACTGAGGTCGCAACATATTATGTTAGATGAGATCAACCTATAGTCATTTCTGTCAATCCAAATGTCACTATTTGGAATTTTTAAGGTAAGTGACAGAAATTTTAGGTAATGATTATTCTGAAACAGACAGACAGTGCAATATGTAGCTCGGGAAAATTGTTTCAGAGTTGTGTTTTCGGAATTTTCCCTCAAATGCTCTAGTACGGCCGAGATGGGGGAGTCCCTTCTCCTTCTCAAAATGCTCTCATATAGCCACCCGTATAGAATCCCTGTCTTCTCAGACCAGCGGTGTTGTTTACGAACTTGATAGGATGAAAAGCGAATACTCGACACCGAAACCGAGTTGATGCTAACGGAGGATCCATCTTGGAAAATCGGAAAACCTAGACTCAAAATTAATGGTACATATAGGCTGTAAAATTCTTAGGCAACAAATGGCATATGAACATATTATTGGCCACTGGCTACCATGGATCTGCATCTTCTGAAGTTGCTCCATTGCGTTGCGGTTCAGGGTGGAGCCCCCAAGACAACCACTCGCTTTGGGCACTCGGATTCAATGGTCTGTATGGCGCATATATATTTCAGCGCTCCTTTCTACTACTTTTTGTTTAAATAAATGAAATCTCTGAAGTTGATGGTGACTTTAATAACCCTGTTGTATTTCAGAGAGGACACTGTGTTTTATATCAGCTTCTTAAATAAATCTTTTACTTATTTTCCAGATTCTAAAAGAAAATAAACGAAAATTGCGTTGTCAACTGGAAATGAATTTACGTGAAATGCAGGCGGCATTTCTAAACAATAAAGACAGTGCTCATTTTAGAGAACGAGATGCTAAAATGCTATTAGCGTCAAAAAAATAATTTTCTAAAGTAGCATTAAATGATTCTTGTAAATTGTAAAGACATATCTCTGTCAACGGCTGTATTTAAATATGACCCAGTACATAACAAATATTATCATTTCTTATTCTTACGCGGTGAGACTGAACGCATCATTTTGTTTTCTTTAATTTGCTATTCTTAAGTACAAGTGTGTAGGACAGTAGTTTAGTGGTTAGAGCATTCTCAGCCAGTCAGTCGCAACGTAGAACTTCGTACGTATGTACATAAGTTCATGTTCCCATACCACATAAGCACAGAGGCGTAACTGTTAGTTCAAATCCAAGAGTGATAGAGATACTAGAGGTATTAATGGTAATGAAGAAGACTAGGGTTTGAAGATATTAGTCAAGAAGTATAATTCAGTGAGATAAGGTTAGAAAGACAACGGTAGAGGTGCTGACGAATCAAGAAGATTAGGATTTGAGAGAGCTCAGAGTGGATGCACCTGCGCCATTGCAAACGATTTTGAGCCATGTCGTTCAAGGTCTCTAGCAATTGATGACTTTCGTCTCGCGGACTCCAACAGGTAGCCTACATCTACAAACATGACTCAGTCCACTTGTTAGTGACTTCATGTATTTGTGCCATGTTTTGGTCTGGCCGCCCCTAGCTTTCTTCCAACCTACTCCTGCACCACAAAACATAGCTCGTCAAGGCAGTCGGTGGTTAGGCATACGTAACACATGTCCCAACCACCTCAACTGATGAAGTTTCAGCACTTCATCTATTGATCTGCCATCCTTAACTAGTACTCGTTTCCTAATGACAGCATTGCTTACTCGGTTGTCCCACAATATACACGAGCAATGCTTCAGAGACATCTATGATCGAATACTAGTAACCTACGAACATCTACTCTTAATGGCCATGTTTCGCATCCTTATAGTAGGACCGAGCGAACTGCTGCACATTGCACTCGTACTCTGGTTAGCGAACGGATATCACGCCTACGCCATAAACGACGTAGATTGGCAAAAGCAAAGCGAGCTTTCTGAATCCGAGCTGAGATTTTGTCAGTCACCAGGCTATCACCGCTGATGAAACTCCCCAGATAAGTGAAGCGGTCTACACGTTCGACTACTTCACTCCCTATCACTAGTTCAGGTGCCGAAGCAACCCAATTCTGAAGCGACATTTTGCATTTCGAGGGGGAAAACCGCATCCCGAACATGCTTGCATTGTTGCTTATGGTAGTCAGAAGACTCTGCATTTTGTCAGCGTCTTCACCGGTAAGCGATTTTCCTGGTAGGTCAGACCCTGAAAAATCTGACGAGCTTGAGTCTAAGAGGAAAATGGAGAGAGTGGACATCCCTGACGGACACCACTTGAAGTAACTAATTCCGATGACTGTTAGCCATAAGCTCTCTATCGACCAGTGGTGTTCGAGTAGAGTGCTTGTATAAGGTTGATGTACTACGTTGGTACACCTTTCAATGACAGACACTGCCACAGAACCTCACGATCCACTGAGTCAAATGCCGCTTTTAGGTCCAGTTGTCCCTTGGGCTCTGCGGTCACGCAACCACGTCTCTAAGGCCAACAGTAATCTATTTTCCTTCCACGGTGTGGGCAGCCGGGAAGTGATAACCGCCCTCATACCCGTAACAGCACGCGAGACCAAATTGGTCAAAATCAAATCCTTCCTACACCCCCTAATACCTCTCTTATCTCCATGACTAACTCTTCTAACATTCCCTTATCTGACTGCACCGCTAATGCAAACGATGCGAGTTCGCGAAACGTCGTTCCTGGTCTCCTTAAACCCCGTTCCAAACTACATGTTGGAGCATTCAATGTACGGACATTGTGTCAAATAGGGCAACAGGCTTCATTAGCTAGGACTTTAGAATCTCGTTCCATCGATGTGTGCTGCGTCTCGGAAACGCGCATACAGGATCCAAGTAGCATCACTCATTTGACCTCACCATGTCAAGATAAAGAAGCAACTCGATTTACCCTTCGTGTATCCGGTAGCACTGATGCTGCTTCTAGGGGCCTCGCCGGTGTAGGTATAGCATTGAGTCGTAGGGCAGAACAATCTCTCCTTGACTGGATCCCTGTAGATAGTCGCTTGTGCGCCAACCGACTGTACGGGACAGTAAGGGCTCGGAAAGATAGGGACACTCGTCGTTGCCTCTTCGTCATATCAGCCTACGCACCCACTGACTGCAGGCCAGATGATGTAACAGATGAGTTTTACAGAAAGCTTTCAGACCTCCTCCAAAAAGTTAAGCGCTCTGATATAGTTATAATGGCTGGTGACTTCAATGCTCACGTAGGTAGACTAAGTGAACAGGAGAGACACCTTGGTGGATGTTACGGTCTCGCGGCTCAAAGAACAGACAATGACGACCGTCTGCCGCAACTATGCTCAGATAACCACCTATTTCTAGCAAACACTAATTTTAAGCATAAGGGAAAACATCTTTTGACCTGGCGACCCCCAAAGTCGGCTCAACGTTGGACACAACTAGATCATATCGCCATCAGCCACCGATGAAGGGGTTCGATAGAGGACTGTCGCTCGTCGTGTGGCACATGTTTAGATTCAGATCATGCCCTAGTGCGAGCACGTATTTGTTTAAGGCTTGCTGGACGTAGGAAAGATACCGTAAGGAAGCCTCTTAGGGCTTTACTTGATGATAATCAAGCTAAGAAAATATTTCAAGAGGAACTAGAAAAACAGTTAGGCGGCCATGCAAGTGATTCCCATCCTGAAGCAGGTTGGAATCATATCAAGAAGGCTGTGGAAACAGCAATGGTATCTGCTAGCAAGGTAAACCACAATGCTAGGATGAAGCAGTGGATTTCAGTCGCATCCACCGAACTGATGGATGCTCGAAAACGCATCCCACCTGACTCTGAACATGATGAAGAACGAAGTCAGCTTAAGCGCAGACTTATAAAAAGCCTACGTAACGACCGTGAACAGTGGTAGGTGGCGAAATCAAAAGCGATGGAAAAGGCAGCGGCGATAGGTAACACTAGACAAATTTCCCGCCTAATTAAAGAAACCGGTATTTGGAACCCGGATGTGAGTGAGACTATCTCAGAAAAGGATGGCTCTATCGTTTATTCTCAATCTAGGAGATCGAATCGATGGGCAGAACACTTTAGGGATCAGTTCAACTGGCCTCGAGCCACACTTCGGTTGCCCAAGATCTCCAGTCATCCTGAATGGCAAATGGATTTAAGTCCTACCAGTTTAAATGAAGTTGAGAATATAGAAAAACTAAGGGGAGGTAGAGCGGCAGGTCCCGATAGGCTTACCCCTGAGATTTTTAAGGATGGTGGTCCAGTTTTAGCAGCTAAGTTGACTGAAATCTTAGGTAGAATATGCGAACTGGACATAATCCCATCCAAGTGGTCTCAATCACTGATTGTCCCAATATATGAGAAAGGACACAAGACTTCTCGTGACAATCACAGGAGAATGAGTCTAACTAATATAGTTACTAAAATATTGACCTCAATAAATACTTCGACGCCTAACGAAAGCTCGTGAAGAGCAGACTCGAGAAAACGAATCTGGTTTTCGACCTGGACGTGGTTGTGTAGACCACATCTTCACACTACGACAGGTCCTGGGACACAGACACACATTTAGACGTCCGACAATAGTAGTGTTCCTGGACCTAAAGGCGGCATTTGACTCAGTGGATCGTGAAGTTCTGTGGCAGTGTCTGTCATTGGAAGGTGTACCAACGAAGTACATTAACGTTATACAAGCACTCTACTCGAACACCAGTGGTCGGGTGAGAGCATATGGTGAACTGTCATCTGAATTCTCTACATCAAGTGGTGTCCGTCAGGTCTGTCCACTCTCTCCATTCTTGTTTAACTTTGTCGCAGACATCCTCTTAGATCTAACATTAAGCTCGTCAGACTATTCAGGGGTTGACCTTCTACCAGGAAAGTCGCTTACTGATCTAGAATATGCCGATGACATAGTTCTATTCGGTGAAGACGCTGACAAAATGCATTTTCTTCCGACTACCCTGAGCAAACATATTCGGGATGCGGTTTTCCCCCTCGAAATGCAAAATGTTGCTTCAAGACTGGGTTGCGTCGGCACCTGAATTAGTGATAGGGAGTGAAGTAGTCGAACGTGTAGACCGCTTCACTTATCTGGGGAGTCTCATCAGTGCTGACGGTCTGGTGACTGACGAAATCTCAGCTCGGATACAGAAAGCTCGCAGGTTACTAGTATTTGATCATAGATGTCTCTGAAGCATTGCTCGTATATCGTGGGACACCCGAGTAAGCAATGCTGTCATTAGGAAACGAGTACTAGTTAAGGATGGCAGATCAATAGATGAAGTGCTGAAACTTCATCAGTTGAGGTGGTTGGGACATGTGTTACGTATGCCTAACCACCGACTGCCTTGACGAGCTATGTTTTGTGGTGCAGGAGTAGGTTGGAAGAAAGCTAGGGGCGGCCAGACCAAAACATGGCACAAATACATGAAGTCACTAACAAGTGGACTGAGTCATGTTTGTAGATGTAGGCTACCTGTTGGAGTCCGCGAGACGAAAGTCATCAATTGCTAGAGACCTTGAACGACATGGCTCAAAATCGTTTGCAATGGCGCAGGTGCATCCACTCTGAGCTCTCTCAAATCCTAATCTTCTGAATTCGTCAGCACCTCTACCTTTGTCTTTGTAACCTTATCTCACTGAATTATATTTCTTGAATAATATTTTCGAACCCTAATCTTCTTTATTAACATTAATACCTCTACTATCTTTATCACTATGGGATTTGATTTGACATTTGCGTCTCTGTGCTAATGTGGTATGGGAACATGAACTTATGTACATACGTACGAAGTTCTACGTTGCAACTAACTGACTGACTAGGAACTCGACGATTGTCGGATGTCTGAATGTGTGTATGTGTCCCAGGACCTGTCGTAGTGTGAAGATGTGGTCTATACAACCACGTCCAGGTCTTAAAACCGGACTGGTTTTCTGGAGTCTGCTCTTCACGAGCTTTCGTTTGGCGTCGAAGTCAATATTTTAGAAACTATATTAGTTAGACTGATTACCCTGTGATTGTCACAAGAGGACTTTCGTCCTTTCTTGTAGATTGGGACAATTAGCGACTGAGACCAGTCAGATGGGTTTACGTCCAGTTCGCAGTTTCTAACTAAGACCTCGGTCAATCTAGTTTCTAAAACTCTATCAGGGGTAAGCCTATCAGGACCTGCAGCTCGCCTTCGCTTCAGATTTCCTAACGCTTTCTTAACTTCATGTATACTTGGGGGACTTACGTCAATGCGCCATTCAGGATGACTGGAGATCGTGGGCAACCGAAGTGTGGCTCGAGGCCAGTTGAACTGATCCCTAAAGTGTTCTGCCCATCGATTCGATCTCCTAGATTGAGAATAAACGATAGAGCCATCCTTTTCTGAGATAGTCTCACTCACATCCGGGTTCCAAATACCGGTTTCTTTGATAAGGCGGGAAAGTTGTCTAGTGTTGCCTATCGCCGCTGCCTTTTCCATCGTTTTCGCTACACACCACTGTTCACGGTCGTTACGTAGGCTTTTTATAAGTCTGCGCTTAAGCTGACAACGCTCCTCATCATGTTCAGAGTCAGGTGGGATGCGTTTTCGAGCATCCATCAGTTCGGTGGATGCGACTGAAATCCACTGCTTCATCCTAGCCTTTTGGTTTACCTACATCGGAGCGCTTAGCTTTTTGGAGGAGGTTCGAAATTATCTGTAGAACTCATCTTTCATCTCGTCTGAACTGCAGTCGGTGGGGCATAGGCAGATACGACGAATAGGCAACGACGGGTGTCCCCACCTTTTCGAATCCTTACTGTCCCGTTCAGTCGTACAGCGCATAAGCGACTATCTACAGGGATCCAGTCCAGGAGAGCTAGTTCTGCCCTACGACAGAATAACATATCTACACCAGCGAGACCCCTGTAAGGAGCATCAGGGCTGCCAGATACACGAAGAGTAAATCGGGATGCTTTTTTATTTTGATAAGGTGAAATCAGATTAATGATTTCACTAGGATCCTGTATGCGCGTTTCTGAGACGCAGCACACATCGATGGAACGAGATTCTAAAGTCCTAGCTAATGAAGCCTGTTGCCCTATTTGACACAATGTCCGCACATTGAATGCTCCAACATGTAGTTTGGAACGGGGTTTAAGGAGACCAGGAACGACGTTTCGCGAACTCGCATCGTTCGCATTAGCGGTGCACTGTGATAAATGAATGTTAGAAGAGTTAGTCGTAGAGATAAGAGAGATATTAGGCGGTGTAGGAAGGATTTGATATTGATCGATTTGGTCTCATGTGCTGTTACGGGTATGAGGGCGGTTATCACTTCCCGGCTGCTCAAACCGTGGAAGGTTGTTTGTTGAGGGACCTGAAAAGGAAGATAGATTAGTGTTGGTCTTAGAGAACTGGTTGCGCGATCGCAGAGCCTAGGGGACAACTGCTTCAGGCCGGTCACGCACGGCCTTTTGATGAAAGGGTTTTTGAATATTAGCTCCGCTCTTGAAAGCCCTTAGTGATCACTCTTACCGACGGAGACGTAAATCTGTGAGGTAGCTTCAGGTGTGACATTTGTAGAGTCGACGTTTTCAAACGGCTTCCTTCCTTGTGAGAAGGCAGCATCGCTTCAGATGCTGGTTGTCAGAGGAAAATATCTTACTGCTGTCATACCTCTCTGCAGTCAGCAGTACGACTTCGCCCTCAGACCTTGGGTAGCTGCTTATATTCTCATCGTTCTCCAACCGACCTGCCTGGCATGGTAGAACCTTTCGGAACATGTGTTCCAGCCAGTATAGCTCGGTTGGGTCATCACGATAGGCAAGCTCGACCACCACGTCAAGGTAGCAGCTACGGTCGGGGGTCAGAGCATTCTACATTTAACCAGTGGGTTACAAGTTCGCTATCACTCTGGTTTGGACGAACTGGTAGAGTAATCAATCAGGGGACGTGGACTGTTGTTCAGAGCCGAGTACATGAGCCTTCAGTAAACGATGATGTAACTGGATCATCTAGTTCGGAATTATTTAAATTGGGAATGAGAATCCAATAACAGTGTTGTTGGATAATAACGCTCTCTGACCCTCTAGTTTTTATGAAACTTTCTCGGAGCTTCTCTTGTCCAAATTACTGTGCAATTTCGTTGTATTAGCTCTATTTGGCTATGTTTATACGGATTCGTGCCTTAATTTAACCTAATCAAATATGTAAAATGCTAAAAGTCCCTAAGAATGACAAACTTAGGTCTTGTTCTTGGCAAGAGAAGCAACACAATCCTTTATTGTTATTATTTGCACCATGTAGTCTAGTGTTAAAACGTTTGTACTACCCCATCATGAATACTAACTGGTTATGTTTTCTCATAGAATTATTCCTTAAAACAGGTTAGTATAGTATTTATTGAGAAAAGATCCCTCCGAATTATGAATGCATCACAGTGAATAAAATTTGTAATCAAATTACGTGTTAGTTGATAAACGCAAATTACTGGCCAACATTAGGAATCACGTGTCAGCATAATTGGTCAGATAAACAATAATGAAGAAATATGTCCGAACATATTCGGTTGATTCGATTTTCTGTGCCCAGTGGGTTTAAAGGATTATTGGTACTAAATCATCCAATCGTTCAATAAACAAAATTCTCTATTACTAATTAGCCAACATTATATAAGAAATTAAAATGTACTATTCATTTCAAAAGTCTGGTAATAGTGGTTACGTTCGTAAAAGTATCGATCAGTCTATTACATAAATTTTCATGTAATTATTTACATCTAAGGTTGACTTATAATGGGGTCGTTTTACCATCTGGATCTGGGAGACTTTCCTACAGTCGAAAGCAGCAATAAGAATTTTATAGTTTTAGAAGGCATTCAGTTCCTTACCTCATGAAGTACAGTCAAAGCCCTATTCATGTTTGAAGACAAGTGACTGATACACCGTTGATCCAATGATCCGTGTCACTAAAATCAAGCTTTGCTGCGTCCATAACTTCATTTTTATGCAGATTTCCGAAGCTAGTAGTAATAAACGTTTATTTATTGAAAACATGTGACAAAACTATTGTTGATTTTGAATTGGGAGTGCACGTGCTATATAACCACAACAGACAATATATGTACACAGCTTGATACTGATGTGTTGGCGAACCACATAAAAATGACGAGGTGAATATCAAATGAGATAATAATAATGTAGTAGTGGTAGCAACAATAAGTATTAATCCTTGAAAATCTAGTTCGGAAAAAGTGTGAATGTATTTATGAAGGAATATTACGTCCAAAACATCTTTGGATGTGTTGTTTTAGGTGATCAAGAGACTGCATTTTGTGAGCATCTTCAACAAACACAGCTATGTCGTCTGCTTACGCCCGTTACTCCTAATGCAGCACTGGCCGTTGACCCGGATTCCCAAACCAACTCTCTCTTGGACTCTTTCTTCCAGTTCTATCCAAATGCTGTTCATTCTCCAGCTCTCGCTGCAGCGTGTACCATGTTTTAGTAGTTCTACAATAGGACTGTTTCTGCTCCACAAAATGGGACTGTTTCGACGTTTGTGTTGAGGTGGTTGGAACATGTGTTACGTATGCCTAACCACCGACTGCGACGAGGAGCTATGTTTTGTGGTGTTTCTAAATTTATTACACTGGGTTATACTTGTTGAATAATTTCCAAGCATAATATTTTCCATTACCACTAAAGCGTCTACTACATCTACCACGATGAGATTCGAGCGGACAGTTGCTTCAGTGTTGGTGTGCAATGGCAACTTTAATTGATGTACGTACGTACGAATTTCTACGTTTTAACTGACTGCCTGATAATTTGTTGTCTAATCTCTTCTATTATCATGATTAATATTACAACTTGTTCCAATCTAGTATCCCACTGCTCTTACATTATATGGCAACTCGAACCGATGCAGATTTGTACCAAGTTCTAGGTTGCATATGATTGACTACAACTAGAGTAATTAACAGAGCTATATTTGATAACTTAAACAATTTAACCATTATTTGGCTAATTAACACTCAGCCATTATATCAGGGAATCCTAACAATTAATTTCATGAAAATCAAATAAAAATTGCACTCAACCAATGGATATTACTGAAACAAGAAACAAAATCAAATATATATTAAAATAAAAAGAACTAGAAAAACAGTGAAAATTCATAATAAAAATTAATCATTTAACGATGTCAAGAAAGATGTGATTATTTGGAAAGCTTTTAGATCAAATTGTTATATTGCTGCTTCCTTCTAAACAATCTTTGTATGAGCACAGTACTGGATCAACTTCGGTGTTTAAGAATGATTCCACCTAAATATAAAAAAATTATATTGTTAACTGACAAAAGCTAAACAAATAGACTTATCTTTTTTACATTGTTCTGAATGTAAGCTAACTGATGAGACCATATTTAATTTTGTAAGCTAACAGATAATACATTGACTTTGAAAAGAGTACTGATAGAACAAAAATGTAGACAAATTGAATAACCTAGTATACTATAGAGCTTTCTACCGATTTGTCTCTATTTAAGATAAATAGAAGTTATACACCCGGTGTGCTATTGATTATTCGGTCAGTTACGAGTAAAAAAAAACCTCGCAAACATGAGTAAAATATACTCAAAGATATCAATCAGCAATGATAGATAACTTTGAACTTGACGATCTACACAAAACCCTTCCCCTTAATAACAGTTATATGCTCAAAGAGTTGCAGTGGGAATTTGACCGACAGAGTTCACTAATACGAGAAGTAAAATAAGTATTACCGATAGAATTAAATGATGGTCATACCATTTTTGAGATGGTGGAAAATATTGGTAGCTCAAGTGGATGAAAACCCCACGACCAAAAAATTCACCTCAGAGAACGAAACACCGCCACGACGGTTATACCAGACAGCAAAACGACTAAAGTTGGAATTGCGAACAACAGACTCAGCGGTCTTAAGACATTATGATCATCAAGAAATCAAGAGTTTCTGCATGTGCGTTGTTAGCAATTTCAAAGCTTAGACGATGTAACTGTCTAGCGCTTATTGATTTTTAGTAGTTTTAGAATTGATATCAGTTAATGATAAAAACCATATAGAAAATGTTTATCAGTTGTATTCAGAATCCCGTGAATGATATTACTAGAACATTAGGCTACCCATATAGTATAATCAAATTTTCAAAAACTGTAATAAACGTTTATAGCAAAGTAGGCATGGCAAAAATTATTACCTGTTCAACAGCGCGACCGATCATATAAGATGGATCTAAAATAGTTGGAAGTAACGAATGTATTGGAGTGAAATAATCATCGTTGAGTAATTTATCCAGAAGACTGTTTTTTAAACCCTTTAGTTTGATTTCTGCAGCAGCTTCATGACTATGCTTGCGAAGGCGTTCATGGCATTTCTGACGGTCAGCTGCGGCTTCAGACACCATTTTGATTAAAATACGTTCAACAACAAGAAAAGGGAGCTCAGCATTTAAATTAGCCTCCATTACCTGAGGAGAAATTGAAGAAATCAATTAGAAAAAAACAAACACATCTTGTTTTTCATTGCAAGACAGAATGAGTTAGTAAAATATAAAAACGAAGGCGTGGTAAGTGCGCACTCTTACAAACAATATGCTGAAAAAAGTATATTGGGTATTATAATACACATTTCAAATGATATCCAAAAATAACACATAAGTGATCAGACAACATGATAAGGCTAATTTGAATACATGAATTAGTGATACTATTAACGAAACTTTATTTATATTGATTTTAGATTTGAACTCCACCTGGAGCCCCTATAAGGTTATTGCCGGTCCCAAGCACTGATAAGAGTGGATGGTTGGGTGGGGCGTTAGAGACCCCACCCAGTAGAAAACTAGCTTGCTAAAACAACGCTTACCAGAAAACATAATTCAAACCATTTTAATTCTACCCTGGCCCGACCGAAGCTGCTACCTTGACGTGGTGGTCGGGCTTGCCTATCGTGATGACCCAACCGAGCTATACTGGCTGGAACATATGTTCCTGCAGGTCCTACCATGCCAGACAGGTCGATTGGAGAACGATGAGACTAAAAGCAGCTACCCAAGGTCTGAGGGCGAAGTCGTACTGCTGACTGCAGAGGGGTGTGACAGCAGTAAGGTGTTTCCCTCGGACAACCAGCATCTGCAGCGATGCTGCCTTCTCACAAGGAAGGAAGGGTTAGAAAAGGTCGGCCCTAAAAATGTCACACCTCCCCTACCTCACGGATTTCCGTCTCCTTGGGTAAGGGTGCCCACTAAGGGCCTTTAAGAACGGAGCTAATCCTCTAAATACCTTTCATAAAAAGGCCGTGCGTGACCGGCCTCAAGCAGTTGTCCCTTGGGCTCTGCGGTCACGCACCAACACTAATCTATCTTCCTTTTCAGGTCCCTCAAGAAACAACCTTCCACGGTGTGGGCAGCCGGGAAGTGACAACCGCCCTCATACCCGTAACAGCACGCGAGACCAAATTGGTCAAAATCAAATCCTTCCTACACCCCCTAATGTCTCTCTTACCTCTACGACTAACTGTACTGACACTCCCTTTTCTCACTGCACCGCTAATGCAGACGAAGCGAGATCACGAAACGTCGTTCCTGGTCTCTTGAAACCCCGTTCTAGACTACATATTGGAGCTTTTAATGTACGGACATTGTGTCGAATAGGGCAACAGGCATCATTAGCTAGGACTTTAGAATCTCGTGCCATCGATGTGTGCTGCGTCTCGGAAACGCGCATACAGGATCCTAGTAAAGTCATTAACCTGATTTCACCTTGTCAAAATAAAGAAGCAGCTCGATTTACTCTTCGTGTATCCGGTAGCCCTGATGCTGCTTCCCGGGGTCTTGCTGGCGTAGGCATAGCGTTGAGTCCTAGGGCAGAATTATCTCTCCTAGACTGGATCCCAGTAGATAGTCGTTTGTGCGCTGTCCGACTAAACGGGACAGTAAGGACTCGGAAGGATAGGGACACTCGCCGTTGCCTCTTCGTCATATCTGCCTATGCCCCCACCGACTGCAGTGCAGACGAGGTTAAAGATGAGTTTTACAGAAAGCTTTCGGACCTCCTCCAAAAAGCTAGGCGCTCTGATATAGTAATAATGGCTGGTGACTTTAATGCTCAAGTAGGTAGACTGAGTGAAAAGGAAAGACATCTAGGTGGATGTTATGGTGTAGCGACTGAGAGAACAGACAATGGCGACCGTCTGTTGCAACTATGCTCAGATAACCGCCTATTCTTAGCGAACACCAACTTTAGGCATAAGGAAAAGCATCTGTTGACCTGGCGACCTCCAAAGTCGTCTCAACGTTGGACTCAACTAGATCACATCGCCATCAGCCACCGATGGAGGGGTTCGATAGAAGACTGTCGCTCGTTCTGGGGCACATGTTTGGATTCAGATCATGCTCTAGTGCGAGCTCGTATCTGTTTAAGGCTTACTGGACGTAGGAAAGACACCGTAAGGAAGCCTCTTAGGGTTTTACTTAATGATAATCAAGCCAAGAAAATATTTCAGGAGCAACTAGAAAGAGAGTTAAGCAACCATGCAAGCGATTCCCATCCTGAAGCAGGTTGGTATGATATCAAAAAGGCTGTGGAAACAGCAGTGATATCTGCTAGGAAGGTAAACCATGAGGCTAGGATGAAGCAGTGGATTTCAGTCGCATCCACCGAACTGATGGATGCTCGAAAACGCATCCCACCTGACTCTGAGCATGATGAAGAGCGTAGTCAGCTTAGGCGCAGACTTATAAAAAGTCTGCGTAACGACCGTGAACAGTGGTGGGTGGCAAAAGCAAAAGCGATGGAAAAGGCAGCGGCGATCGGCAACACTAGACAACTTTTCCGTCTTATTAAAGAAACTGGTATTAAGAACCCGAATGTGAGTGAAACTATCTCGGAAAAGGATGGTCTTATTATCCATTCTCAATCTAGGAGGCTGGACCGATGGGCAGAACACTTTAGGGATCAGTTCAACTGGCCACGAGCCACTCTTCGGTTACCCACGATCTCCAGTCATCCTGAATGGCAAATCGACCTAAGTCCCCCTAGTCTTAATGACGTTGAGAAAGCGTTAGGAAATCTGAAACGAGGACGAGCTGCAGGTCCTGATAGACTGACCCCTGAGATATTTAAGGATGGTGGTCCAGTTTTAGCAGCTAGGTTGACTGAGATTTTAGGTAGAATCTGGGAACTGGACGTAATCCCATCCGACTGGTCTCAATCACTGATTGTCCCGATCTATAAGAAAGGACAAAAGTCTTCTTGTGACAATCACAGAGGAATAAGTCTAACTAATATAGTATCTAAAATATTGGCCTCAATAATACTTCGACGCTTAACGAAAGCTCGTGAAGAGCAAACTCGAGAAAACCAGGCTGGTTTTCGACCTGGACGTGGCTGTATAGACCACGTCTTCACCCTCAGACAGGTCCTGGAACATAGACACACATTTAGGCGTCCTACAATAGTTGTTTTCCTGGACCTTAAGGCGGCATTTGACTCTGTTGATCGTAAGGTTCTGTGGCAGTGTCTGTCATTGAAAGGTGTACCACAGAAGTACATTAACCTTATACAAGCTCTTTACTCGAACACCACTGGTCGAGTGAGAGCTTATGGCGAACTGTCACCGGAATTCTCTACATCAAGTGGTGTCCGTCAGGGATGTCCACTTTCTCCATTCTTGTTTAATTTTATCATAGACATGCTCCTAGACATAACATTATCCTCGTCTGAATTTTCAGGAGTAGACCTTCTACCAGGTGGCTCGCTTATTGACTTAGAATATGCCGATGACATTGTCCTACTTGGTGAAGACGCTGACAAAATGCAGAGTCTTCTGACTACCCTAAGCAACAATGCAAGCATGTTCGGGATGCGGTTTTCCCCCTCGAAATGCAAAATGTTGCTTCAAGACTGGGTTGCATCGGCACCTGAACTAGTGATAGGGAGTGAAGTAGTCGAACTTGTAGACCGCTTCACTTATCTTGGGAGTCTCATCAGTGCCGATGGACTGGTGACTGACGAAATCTCAGCACGGATACAGAAGTCTCGATCGGCTTTTGCCAACCTACGTCACTTATGGCGTAGGAGAGATATCCGTTTGCTGACTAAAGGACGCGTGTACTGCGCAGTAGTTCGCTCCGTTTTACTTTATGGCTGTGAAACATGGCCAGTGAGAGTAGAAGATATTCGTAGGTTACTGGTTTTTGATCATAGGTGTCTTCGAAGCATTGCTCGTATATCGTGGGACACCCGAGTGAGCAACGCTGTTATTAGGAATCGGGTGCTAGGTAAGAATGGCAGATCAATAGATGAAGTATTGAAACTTCACCAGTTGAGGTGGTTGGGACATGTGTTGCGTATGCCCAACCACCGACTGCCTCGTCGAGCCTTGTTTTGTAGTGTAGGAATAGGTTGGAAGAAAGTTAGGGGCGGCCAAACCAAAACATGGCAGAAATCCCTGAAGTCATTGACTAGTGGACTGAGCCATGTCGGTAATTGTCGACTACCTGGTTGGGGTCCGCGAGATGATAATAATCGATGGTTAGAGACCTTGAATGACATGGCTCAAAATCGTTCGCAATGGCGCAGGTGCATTTATTCTCTGTGTTCTCTCAAATCCTAATCTTCTGGATTCTTCAACCCCTCTAGTTTCGACTCTCTAAACTTATCTCACTGAATCATACTTCTTGAATAGTATCTTCTAATCCTAACCTCTCCGATTATTTCTAATTCCCTTACTACCTCTTCTACTATTGGATTTGAATTGACGATTACTTCTCTGTGCTGATGTGGTATGGCAACATGAACTGATGTACTTATGTACAAAGTTCTACGTTGCATTTGGCTGACTGAATTCTACCCTGGCATTTCGAAGAGCTTCATTTAGAAGAGTTATGACTGGTGACTTAAATACTCAAGAAGGTAGACTAAGTGAAAAGGAAAGACACCCGGGTGGATCTTATGGTATTGTGGCTCAAAGATCAGATAATGGTTACTGTCTGCTGCAGGTATGCTCAGATAACCGCCTATTTCTAGCAAACACTAACGTTAAGCATAAGGTAAAAAATCTTATGACCAACGACCCACAAAGCTGACCCAACTAGATCACATCGCTATAAGCTATCGGTGGAGAGGTTCTAATGAAGACGGCCGCTCATATAGGAATAGGTCAGACTAATATAGTTTCTAAAATATTGGCCTCAATCATACTCCGACGCTTAACGGAAGCCCGTGAAGAACAGACTAGGGAAAAGCAAGCTGGTTTTCGACCTGGAAATGGATGTATAGACCAAATATTCACACTACGTCAGGTCCTAGAACAAAGACACACTTTCAGACGTCCCACAATAATAGTATTTCCCGACCTTAAGGCGGCATTTGACTTTGTGGATCGTGAGGTTCTGTGGCAGTTCTGTCATTGGAAGGTGTACCAGAGAAGTAAAAAACTGGTCGGGTGAGAGCTTATGGCGCACTGTCATCAGGTTCTCTACTTAAAGTGGCGTCCGTCACATTCTCCATTCTGGTTTAACTCTGTCATAGAAGTGCTCCTAGATATAAAATTATCTCCGTCAGAATATCCAGAAGTGAACATTCTACCACGAGATTCACTAGTTGACTTAGAATATGCCGATGACATAGTTCTAATTGGTGAAGACGCTGACAAAATTCATTGTCTTCCGACTACCCTAAGCAATAATGTAAACATGTTAGGGATGCGGTTTTCCTCCTCATTTCCAAAATGTTGCTTCATGATTGGCTTGTATTAGCACCTGAACTAGTGATAGGGAGTGAAGTAGTTGAGAGTGTTGACCACTTAACTTATCTCGGGAGTCTCATCAGTTGTCCCATGATACACGAGCAATGCTACGAAGACATCTATAATCGAGTACTGGTAACTTACGAATATGTTCTACTGTTACCGGCCATGTTTCGCAGCCATAAAGTAGGACGGAGCGAAATACTGCCCAGTACATTCGTCCTTCAGTTAGCAAACAGATATATCGCCTACATCATAAGTGACGCAGGTTAGTAAAAGCCGATCGAGCCTTCTGTGTCCGTGCTGAGATTTCGTCAGCCACCAGGGAATCAGCACCGATGAGACACCCGAGATAAGTGAAGTGGTCAACACTCTCAACTCCTTCACTGCCTATCGCTAGTTCAGGTGCTGATGCAAGCTAATCCTGAAGAAACATTTTGGAATTTGAGGGGGAAAACCGCATCCCGAATATGTTTGCTCAGGGTAGTCGGAAGAAAATGCATTTTGTCAGCGTCTTGCAGTGGCTTCCTATGTCGCGTAAGTCTGGCGTCTAAATCTAAACATGAACTCTAGAACGAACGACAGTCCTCTATCGAACCCATCCATCGGTGGCTGATGGCGATGTGATCAAGTTCAGTCCAACATGGAGAAGAATTTGTGGGTCACCACGTCAAAAGATGTGTTTCCTCATACTTAAAGTTAGTATTTGCTAGAAATAGGCAGTTATCTGAGCATAGTTGCAGCTGACGGTCGACATTATTAGCCGCGACACCGTAAGATCCACACAGGTGTCTTTCATTTGCACTTAGTCTACCTACTTGAGTATAAAGTCACCAGCCATTATTACTCTATCAGAGCGATTAACGTTTTGTAGGAGCTCCGAAAGCTTTCTGTAAAACTCATCTTTCACCCTGTCTGAGTTGCATTCAATGTGATTGTAGGCGGAGACAACGAAGAGGCATCGACGGGTGTCCCCATCTTTCCGAGTCCTTAATGGTCCGTCCAGTCGAACAGCGCACAAGCGACATTCTAATGGGATCCAGTCTAGGGGAGCTAGTTCTGCCCTAGGACTCAATGCTATACCTACGCCAGCGAGACCCCGGGAAGCAGCATCAGCGCTTGCAGATACATGAAGAGTAGATCCAACAGGTTTTTTATTTTGACAAGGTGAAAACAAATTAATGGTTTTACTACGATCCTGTATGCACGTTCCGGAAACGCAGCATACATCTATGGCGCAAGATTCTAAACTCTTAGCTAAGGAAGCCTGTTGACCTATTTGACACAATGTCCGTACATTAAAAGCTCCAACATGTAATCTAGAACGGAGTTTCAGGAGACCAGGAATAGCGTCTCGGGAAGTCGCATCGTTCGCATCAGTGGTGCGGGGTGATAAAGGAATGTGAGAAGAGTTAGTCGTGGAGATAAGAGAGATATCAGGAGGAATAGGAAGGATCTGTTTGTGACCAGTTAGGTCGCGCGTGCTGTTACGGACGGATGTCACTTCTCAGCTGCCTACACCGTGGAAGGATGTTTCTTGAGGAACCTGAAAAGGAAGATAGATTAGTGTTGGTCTTAGAGACCAGGGAGCGTGACCGCAGAGTCCAAGGGACAACTGCTTCAGGCCGGTCACTCACGGCCTTTTTATTAAAGGTTTTTCGACTACTAGGACACACTGCAAATAGCCCCCAACTGCGTTGCAAGAACAGCCTCCACCCGGAACCCTGAAGGTTAAAGGAAAAGAGGAAGGCTAAGGGACACAGTACGCCGAGAAACGCATGAGAAAAATGAACGAAAAGTGGACAGGACTGGAAAGGGAAGCTCAGCACAGAGTCGGTTGGAGACAACTGGTCGGCGACCTATGCTCCATCGGGGGTAACAGGCGTAAGTAAGTAATTTTAATGAAATATGGCACTCTGGAGGAGAGTAATTATAAATTTCAAAAAGTCAGATGTTAAATAAATGACTTTCATGGATAACTACAGTTTACTGATACAAACTGTGTATCAAATATGATTATCAGAAAAAACGTTAAAATTGAATACGGTTAGAATTGTGAAATGCCAATAACGTCTATAGTGAATTGTTACACAATAAATAGATACATGGGCAATAGGAGTGGACATACCATTGGGTATACTACTAATCCTTCAACTATATTTTGTAATAAAATAATACATGCATCCGCTGCAAGAAAAGCTTCTGGAAGAACAATTCTACGAATAGCTGAATCATCTAGTGAACGTTCAAGCCACTGAACAGATGCTGTAGAAATGATGGAAGTTGATATATGCATTAGGTAACGTGCTAAAGAACATGCTCTTTCTGAACGAATAGGATTACGTTTGTACGGCATTGCACTTGAACCGATCTATATTTGCATAATTAAATATGAAATAGATATAATGGAACCGTTAAAATAAAATAGAGGAGTAAGGACGAATTCTACAAATAAATTTTTAATTGGATAGTAATAATAATGTACAATACATTCGAAACGATAAGAAAGGGACGCATGACATATATACAAAATATATAATAAATATTTGAAATTGTTCCGAAATATTTATGACATCATTATCATCACATGAATGAATAAACAAAAATTTCAATTGTTTGACCCGTTTAAACTGAAGTGAGTTCATATTGGCGAAAAAAAGATTTATTCTAGTAAAGTTTGCCAATGTTATTAAACCAAGAAATTTATTTAAACAGACTGCGAACTTAACACAGTTACTATTTAATCTGTATTTAGTTTCACATCAGTTATGGCACATAATCATCTTTTTTTATGGCGATGAAAGCGTTAGATTTAGCATACACCATACACAAAAATCTTTTAGTTCCATCTGAATCAGTTTTTAAGATCTGACTACTGAAAAATGGACCAATTAGAACGCTCCAAATTGATTACTCATGTGTGAATTTATGCTAAGGAAGAGATAAACGAGTAGTGAGGGCTATTTTCATAAGTTTTAACGGACAAGCCATAATGAGCACCCACAAATTCAAACATGCTACTTTAGTGACAGGAATTTTCCAAGTCAATTGGTATCGTTGGTTTAAGTGCAGTGCATGAGTCTACTAAGTTTCGATTTACATTCCCTCTACTTGCATATGGGAATTATTCAATAAAGATATTACCAATTTTCCGTAGTGGTTTTATTCGTTTTCTCAAATAGTTGTGGAAACAGAAGTGATATCTGCCAGTAAGTTAAACCGAAAGGTAAGGGAGAGACAGTGGGTTTCAGTAGCATCTACCGAACTGATAGATGCTCGGAAACTCATCTCATCTGGCTCTGAACATGATGAGGAGCGCAGTGAGCGTAAGCGCGGGCTGATAAGAAATCTACGCAATGATCGCAAAGATTGACGCAAGCAAGAGAGATGGAGAAGGCAGCGGTAGACAACTGCTCGGAATTATCAAGGAGACTGTTAGCGAGACTATCTCCAAAAAGATGGGCATGTTGTTCGTTCTCGATCCAGGAGATCTGATCGGTGGGCAGAGCACTTTAGGGAGCAGTTCAACTGAAATCTTAGCTAGAATCTGGGAACTGGACGTAATACTGCAATCACTGGTTGTCCCAGTCTATAAGAAAGGACAAAAGTCCTATTGTCACAATCACAAAGGAATCAGTTTGACTAGAAGACGCTGACAAAATGCAGAAACATCTGACCACATTAAGCAACAATGCTAATATTTTCGGGATACAATTCTCGCCCTCGAAACGTAAAGTGTTGTTTCAGGATTGGCCTGCATCGGCACTTAAACTAGTGATAAGGAGTAAAACAGTTGAGCGTGTAGACCGCTTCACTTATCTAGCCAGCCTCATTAGTCCTGATGTCTGACGAAATCTCAGCGCGCATACAGAAGACTCGGCTGGCTTTCACTAACTTGCGTCACTCATGGCGTAGGCGAAATATCCGTCTGCTAACCAACGGACGAGTTTACTGTGCAGCAGTTTGCCCAGTCCTATTACACGGGTGTGAAACGTAGCCAGTAAGAGTAGAGGGTATTCGTAGGTTACTGGTATTCGATCACAAGTGTCTTAGAAGCATTGCTTGTATATCCTGGGACCGCCGAGTAAGCAATGCTGGTGTTAGGAAAAGAGTACTATGTAAGGATGGTAAATGAATCAGTGAGGTATTGAAACTTCATCAGTTGAGACAAGTGTGACCACCATAGTTTACCTCAACAGGCAGTGCTGTCTGGTGCAGGGGTAGGCTGGAAGAAAGCTAAACATTACTGTAGTGGATCTTACTAATGACAAGCCTAATTGTGTACAAACAATGAAAGAAGGACGTGCAGATGATACTATTATCACAGCTAAGAAGATTCGATAATTAACTTCAGACCTAATTCATACGAAGTGTTCGACAACTCACCTGTAAACTACAAGCCATGCTTACAACCATCTCCAGAAATACAAAATGAAATAAAAGACTAGATAGAACTTCGGTAAATTGACAAAGGGCATTAAGTCTAATGAAGTTGATCAAAAGTTTCCTTACTACATTATAAACAAATAGCTAATGTTTAGTCGAAAACACCCTTATTGATCAAATCAAGACACTAAGTTGCGATAAACCTATTAACATTATATACGGAAGGGATGATTAATATATAGAACATATAGAATAATTCGTGAAATGTTGTATTGAAAAAATATAATACAATTCAGTAGCCAAGTATGAGTTTACGTCCTTGGTAATGAACTGTCCATACAGCTGTTCAAACAAGGTAGATGAAGCACAGTTCAAACTTACAACTTAATTTTTTATTAAGTTGGTGAATTCTTCAATGAAATAATATTTTAACGGAATGAATTTTTGTTCAGGAGTCGATATTACCACGTTTTTATAAAATCCTTTGTGCCATTTAGATGTAACAATATGTTTTGTATCTATTCAGTGTGGTATTCGTTAATGTATAATCACTGCAAGTAGACCTGTACACAAATAAATTTACCAATAAAAAAGTGTTATATTTTGTCTGGATGACGAAATAAAACTTCACTTAACAGTGTTTGTGTTTCTTTTTGTATCAAGATATATCAGATTCGTTTCAATTAAAACAGTTCTTGATCATTGTCAGTCAGTCAAAAATGAATTACGCTCATCAGGATCTGTACTAGAATAGTACCAAAATTGATCCTGGGAAATTTGTAATTTATAACAGATGTTTTGCATTGTCAAAGCATTTTTAAAAGTCTGCATATTAAGCGAGCTATTACCTGTTCAGTTTCAAAAGGTTCCTCAACCTCGTGAAAACTACTCAGTAGTCGTATGTCAGTGCATATTTTATGAACGGTTGCTCCCATACTTGACAATACGTTCATTATTTCACTATCCAATTTCCTTGGATAAGTTTGACCGGTTACACTCCAAGAACGCTGGAACCCGGACTTTTTGGTTATAAGTTCGTCCAGTTTAATAACCTATAAAATAGAATGCATAGGAAAGCAGATGTTACACGAAGTTAACATGACTCATATTTAAGACATCATTGAAAGTCTATAAGAAAACCAGAATATATACATATATATATATAAGTGGAATAGCCGTTCACATAAATTCAAGTGATAAGGTGATGTTAGGATGAAGTAATCATATAACTTAATAAACCAGCTACATCTGTTTACAATAACAGGTTAATCCTATGATATTGTAACTAAATAATATCACACCCTATTTCGCACTTGCAAGAAGGCCAGTGTTTTTACAATAACCTCGAAGAACAACCACAACTGAAGACTTTCATTTCAATCAAGTAAGACGTTATGTACTTCAGGCAGAATAGTTTGGGGACGATTTGGAGTAATCCAGCGCCAAGTATGCAAATGCTTCCGAAGTATTATATAATTTATTCGCATAAATAATCATGGTACAAGAAAAAACAAGAGTAGGAAAACCAACCTTTTGATGATCACCTTGAAATAAATCTAGAAAAGATGCTTGAGTTCCTACTGCACCTTTAACACCACGAAAACGAATTGTGTGGTTCTTCAACCTTTCAAGATTCTCCAAATCCAGTAATAAATCTTGTATCCACATACATATCCTACGGCCCATCGTAGTAGGTTGAGCAGACTGTAGATGGGTGCGAGCGAGACATATTAAACTTTTGTGCGACATAGCTATTTTAGCTAACCTGTCAATACATTTAGCAACCTTTGGTAACAGTATACTTAAACCATCCTTGAACATAATTAAATCGGCATTATCACCAACGAAACACGATGTTGCACCTGTGTATACGTACATCAAAACCAAATCAAACAATATCAATGGTACACTTATATGTGTGTTCAGTAATCAAAACTTAGTTTGCTAACAATTATTATGTCTATGGTTTGAAAAAAATATGAAAGCCCTTAAATTTATGTATAATAATAAAAGGAATCTCCACAGAGAATAGTATTGATAAAGTGGAAACTGATAGGAGAAAATGAATTTCAATATTTTTATGGTTTACAATAATCAGCTAATTTATTTAATTAAAAAAAGGATCCGATGAATAAACGAATAGAATCAAACATGTAAAGTTCGATCGTTAGATGGAATCTAAGCAGTAAAACGAAGTTATTATTTACCAGATAACCTTTAAATTCTACTGATTGTTGTTTAACAAGTTGACAATTATGCATTCAATAAACAAAAAACTGACGCTGTGTATTATCCATTTTGAAGAAAACATTTGCTGAAACGTTCATTTATGTTATACTGCGTTTAGTGAACACAAATATATTGAAGTTAACAAATAATTGCAATAATAACGTATTCTATATAGGTTATATTTTATTTGCTGGTGTGAAGTTGTTTCAGTCATTCAGAAACTTGGCGGTAAATATAGACAGCAAATTTAGCCTTGAGAACAAATGCAAAGTTAAAAAATTTGAAGGGTAGAAAGAAGCAACGGTAAAGGCACACTCTACAGAGACATCATTCACAAAAGTAATAACAATTACATGATGTAATGATTTAGAAATAATGTATCTCCATTTATTTTTTCCTACAACTAGCTTGATAAAGCCCAACTTTTAGGGCATGTGCATGGCAATTAGCTCATTCATAAGTAAGTTGTTGGAATTCACACTAACAGTTGAAGATAAATAGTATTACCTCTAGTTCTAAGTGGATAAAGGTTACTAAAATGTTCACGCAGTTAATCAGAAGTCTAAAGAATATGAGATTTGCATTAAGTACTACATGAATGTAAACAGACAGATACAACACCAAACTTAGATACATAAAACATAATAAAACGTAAATACATCATTTCAGGTCGCCATACCGCATTAGCACAGAGACGCAACTGTCACTTTAAATCCAATAGTGGTAACGATAGCAGAAGTATTAGCAGTAATTGAGAAGATTAGGGAGCGAAAATATGATTCGAGAAGTATAATTCACTGAGATAAATTTAGAAACAGAAAGACAGATATGATGAAGAATTCAGAAGATTAGAATTTGAGCGAACACAAATAGTGGATGCACCTGCGCTATTGCAAACGATTTTGAGCCATGTAGTTCAAGATCTCTAACCATTGGTGACTTTCGTCTCGCGGACTCCAACCAAGTAGTCTGCATCTACATACATGACTCAGTCCACTTGTTAATGACTTCGTGGATTTCTGCCATGTTTTGGTTTGGCCAACCCAAGCTTTACTCCAACCTACTCCTACGCCGCAAAACATAGCTCGTCGATGCGGTCAGTGGTTAGGCATACGTAACACATGCTCCAACCACCTCAACTGATGAAGTTTCAATACTTCGTCTATTGATTTGCCATCCTTACCTAGTACTCATCTCCTAACGACAGCATTGCTCATTCGGTTGTCCCATGATATATGAGCAATGCTTCTAAGACACCTATGATCAAAGACAAACAATCTACGAATATCCTTCACTCTCACCGGTCATGTTTCGCATCCATGTATGTAGGACGGAGCGGAATGCATTTTGTCAGCGTCTTCACGGAATATGACTATATCATCAGATTATTCTAAGTCAACTAGTGAATCTCCTGGTAGAAGGTCTAGTCCTGAAAGTTCAGACGAAGGTAATGTTATATCTAGAAGCATATATATGACAAAGTTAAACAAGAATGGGGAGAGGGGACAGCCCTGACGGACACCACTTGAAGTAACTAATTCCGATGACAGTTCGCCATAAGCTCTCTATCGACCAGAGGTGTCCGAGTTGAGAACCTGTATAAGGTTAATGTACTTCTTTGGTACACCTTTTAACGACAGACACTACCAAGGAACCTCACGATCCACAGAGTCGAGTGCCGCCTTAAGGTCGAGAAATACTATTATTGTGGGACGTCTGAAAGTGTGTCTTTGTTCTAGGACCTGACGTAGTGTGAATATTTGGTCTATACATCCACTTCCAGGTCGAAAACCAGTCTGATTTTCCCTAGTCTGTTCTTCACGGGCTTCCGTTAAGCGTCGGAGTATGATTGAGGCCAATATTTTAGAAACTATATTAGTTTGACTTATTCCTATATGATTGTCACAGGAGGACTTTTGTGCTTTTTTGTAAATTGGGACAATCAATGATTGAGACCAGTCAGACGGGACTACGTCTATTTTCCAGATTCTACCTAAGATCTCGGTCAATCTAACTGGACCGACTGGACCGACTGGACCACCACCCTTAAAAATCCCAGGGGCAAGCCTATCAGGACCACTGCTCTCCCTCATAGCTTTTTCGACTTCATAAAGACTCGGAGGACTCACATCGATTTGCCATTCAGGTTGACTGGAGATTGTGGGTTAAGGAAGTGTTGCTGAAGTCCAGTTGAACTGATCCCTGAAGTGTTCTGCCAATTGATCCAAAGTCCTGGATTGAGAATGAATCATAAGCCCATCCCTTTTTGAGACAGTTTCGCTAACAGATGGATTTCTAATACCGGTTTCCTTGATAAGTCGGAACAACTTCCTGCTGTTGCCTATCACCGCTGCCTTTTCCATCACTCCTGCTTTCGTTCCTACCGCTGTTTGCGATCATTGAGTAGGCTTTTCATCAGCCTGTGACTAAGTTGACTCCGCTCCTCATCATACTCAGAGCCAGACGGGATGAGTTTCCGAGCATCTATCAGTTTGATAAATGCTATTGAGATCCTAACCTTACGGTTTGCCTTGCTAATAGATATCACGGCTGTTCTTACAGCTTTTTGGATATCGTTCCATTCTGCCGCACGGTGTGCATCACCTACATGGCCGCCTAACTGTTCTTCTATTTGTTCCTGAAATATATTATTAGCTTTGCTATCCTTAGGCAGAACCCTAATAGGTTTTCTTGCCATATCATTCCTACGTCCAGTAAGCCTCAAACAAATACGCAGTCGCACTAAAACATAGTCTGTATTTAAACATGAACACTAGAACGAACGACAGTCCTCTATCGAACCCATCCATCGGTGGCTGATGGCGATGTGATCTAGTTCAGTCCAACATGGAGACGAATTTGTAGGTCACCACGTCAAAAGATGTGTTTCCTCATACTTAAAGTTAGTATTTGCTAGAAATAGGCAGTTATCTGAGCATAGTTGCAGCTGACGGTCGACATTATTAGCCGCGACACCGTAAGATCCACACAGGTGTCTTTCATTTGCACTTAGTCTACCTACTTGAGCATAAAGTCACCAGCCATTATTACTCTATCAGAGCGATTAACGTTTTGTAGGAGCTCCGAAAGCTTTCTGTGAAACTCATCTTTCACCCTGTCTGAGTTGCATTCAATGTGATTGTAGGCGGAGACAACGAAGAGGCAACGACGGGTGTCCCCATCTTTCCGAGTCCTTAATGTTCCGTCCAGTCGAACAGCGCACAAGCGACATTCTAATGGGATCCAGTCTAGGGGAGCTAGTTCTGCCCTAGGACTTAATGCTATACCTACGCCAGCGAGACCCCGGGAAGCAGCATCAGCGCTTGCAGATACATGAAGAGTAGATCCAACAGGTTTTTTATTTTGACAAGGTGAAAACAAATTAATGGTTTTACTACGATCCTGTATGCACGTTCCGGAAACGCAGCATACATCTATGGCGCAAGATTCTAAACTCTTAGCTAAGGAAGCCTGTTGACCTATTTGACACAATGTCCGTACATTAAAAGCTCCAACATGTAATCTAGAACGGAGTTTCAGGAGACCAGGAATAGCGTTTCGGGAAGTCGCATCGTTCGCATCAGTGGTGCGGGGTGATAAAGGAATGTGAGAAGAGTTAGTCGTGGAGATAAGAGAGATATCAGGAGGAATAGGAAGGATCTGTTTGTGACCAGTTAGGTCGCGCGTGCTGTTACGGACGGATGTCACTTCTCAGCTGCCTACACCGTGGAAGGATGTTTCTTGAGGAACCTGAAAAGGAAGATAGATTAGTGTTGGTCTTAGAGACCAGGGAGCGTGACCGCAGAGTCCAAGGGACAACTGCTTCAGGCCGGTCACGCACGGCCTTTTTATGAAGGGTTTTTTGAACATTAGCTCCACTCTTAAAAGCCCTTAGTGGGCTCCCTTACCGACGGAGACGGAAATCCGTGAGGTAGGGTGAGGTGTGCCATTTTTAGGGTCGACCTCTTCTAACCCTTCTTTCCTTGCGAGAAGGCAGCATCGCTGCAGATGCTGGTTGTCCAAGGGAAACACCTTACTGCTGTCACACCCCTCAGCATTCAGCAGTAGGATTTCGCCTTCAGACCTAGAGTGGCTCCTTTTATTCTCATCGTTCTCTAGTCGACCTGCTTGAGATGGTAGAACCTTCAGGAACATATGTTCCGGACAAGGTTGCTCGGTTGGGTCATCATGATAGGCAAGCCCGGCCACCACGTCAAGGTAGAAGCTGCTACATGTGTGCAGCTATCGCCAGTTAGAAAGGCAGACTGACTAACATTTAGTAATAAGCTTTCATTCTCGCAACCTGAAATCTTGTTTAAAATAAACTTGGGGATTCGAAATTGTCAAACTGAAAATGACGACAGCCATTAACACTACAGCAGAGGTTATTGTAAGAATATGAATAAGAAAAAGAACGAACTGGTATATACCAACAAAAACCAGGCAGCCTGAGCTATCCTTAGAAAAATAAATATCTAGAAACATCTAGTAAATATGAACAACAGTTGGATTCGTGCATGTTATAAAGTCATGGATTACACCCTTAGTTTGTACCCAGTAATTATGGGTTCATTTCACACAAAAGTGCATGCTTTGTGTCTCAATATATGGTTTGAACAGTGGTTGTGCTACCACATGTTACTAAAAACAAAACTGTTTTTCTTAGAAATATTACAACTTATTCAATGTAATCTTTAACAGATAAACTTGCCGAGGTGAATAATTGGTGCAGCGATTGGACAAGCTAACGCGAAAGTGTGTACGTGAGCCATCACGTCATGTCTTCGAGCCTTTTCTACAGCTGCAGCAATCTCGAAATTGATTGAATCTCTCTGCATTTTCATTTCATTAATCTGTTCATCTGAATTAGTGTTGAAATCATAGAATAAAAATGCAATCCAAACCAGTTAACAATCTTGGGTGCGAAGAAATGCATAGCTTTTACAAGAAACTTGGATACAAACAATGCTTCAAGTTGAATAAAAGTTATTTGCGTAACAGATTCTAATAAGGAATTCTTAATAACTAAAACATTACAAATACAATGTAGACATGAAAAGCTAATTGGAAAATAAGTGTTTAGAATACCAAACAACGTAATGTTTAATAAGGCATAGAAGAGTAAGCTCACACCATTTTTAACTGAGCAACCAACATGGTATAGACTAATTTAATTTCAAAAAAGGTTATCAGGAACTACGTTCTCTTATTATTCAGTCTGATGTTATGAATGCTATGTGAACTAAGAAAATAACGAACTGAAGGAAATCCTCTTCCGATTGTGTGAACTCCTACAACTTCAGCCGTCCCCATACAAAAATATGGAATTTCTTAACAGCAGAAATCTTAGAAAGAAAATAAATTTGGTTCGTTATTGGTGTCTGTGAATATATAGAGATCTTATCCTGGTCTATAAAAAATAACTACGTGACACAATTTCAGTATTATGGAAAATATTACCTGAGATATCGAACCCAAGTTCTTTCTGTGCTTCAGCTAGCCATATCCACAATTGTCGCCAAATGACTACTTTCCGTTTTTCACCGAAATTGCAAACCATTTCACGGCTTGCATATCTCTTTGTAAGAGGATTTCTAGATTTACGAGATATGAAGACGGAATGACATACCTGTACTCTTCGAATTCATCCATTCAGAGTACAATATAGATTCTAAAAAATCGAATTGAATAAACTGAATTTATTGTAGAGAAAGTAAATGTTTGTAAACTAAAGACGGAACTGACGGATTCTGTCACCAACCCCATGACGAAAGATGTATAAATTAATAATGATTTTAAAGGCATAAGCGAAATAACATTACAGGATCAACGAATTCCGATATCAAGCAGGGCATGCATGATAGAGAAAATGAAGGTAAGTAGTCAGAACGAAAGATAAAAAGGAAACCCACGAGAATTGAAAAAAATTAAACCGAAACTCACTCTAACTTAGATGTACTATTAGAATAAAAAAATTATTGAGCATGGGATGTAGAAGGAATAAAGTATCTATCACAGCTAACAATCTTGTGAGCAGTGACACTAGGTCGTGTGCAGCGAAGAAATAATCAAATACAGGGCCATATGGGATGGAAATGAGAAAGTAGATTGGATTTATGTACGAGACAAATCGAACTTAGGATGTAGTATATTTTTAAGAGCTGTAGAAAGTATGAACAAAGATAAAGAGTATCTTTACAGTGAAAACAGATGATAAACCGAATATGCTTGCAGAATATTTCGATGTTAAGAAAAAATAAGTTGCGAGTTTGAAAGCTTTAGGAAGCTGTACAACTATAAACAAGATAACTACGGATCGGTAAACTCACCACGAAACGTGCAAAAATTACCCAACCCCAACCTTGAGATTAAACTGAGCGGCGACAGGTGAAATAGCTTCACTCGCAAAGCAAACCATTTCACACTTTATTTGTTATTGCTTAGTTATATGTACACTTAAAGGATTAGTCATAGAAAAATTGGAAAACGCCTGATACAATTTTAAAATTCTGAAACATTTTCTGCGAGCTTTCTCAGATGCTGCGTATTATAAACTTATATGTTAGGAACGAAGACGGGATAGATAGATGAAGTAGGCGCATTTGCGGGCGATTGCTTGATATCGAGGAAATACTAAAACATACCACAGAGAATGGCAGTACAGAGTAACCAAAACAAGATGACGACCAGGAAAAAATTGGTAGTGCCATGGCCGTAGCGTAATGTTGGTATATATATAAAAAGAACAAAGGTCATTGCTTATAAATAAAAGTACGAACAAACCACTGTTCAGTAGTACGTTCGCTGGTGCAACTGATCATAACAATGAACGTTTCTAAATGAAAAATCGTGATTTTCTTCGTAAACATGAAATCAAACCTAAGTTGTTTGTATTCAGAATTTGAAGACGTCGTTCGAAAGACTTGGGCCGGAGAACGATGTTGACATAGGACGAAACCACGCTGATCCAGGAAAGTATGCTTGACGTAGTCATTATCACTATTTCGACCAGGTACAATGACAGGGCTTTGAGTGATCAGACCAGCCGTACCCAAGGTAAAGTGAATTCAACGGTACTGGACGCACGATGGTCGCGGGTGTTTGTTTTGATCTTTGTAAGTACAGTACGCGCGGCATCTTCTAGCAATAGTTTACGCGGAATATAGTGAATTTAGTCGGTTAGCGTGTGGTATGAAACGGCGATAGTAAATAAGCAAACCTGAAATTGCCCTCAGTTTCCTGTTGCGCGTAACGTAGGATAATGTAGGATACCCTGTTACTGAATGTAGTTGCCAAAGAATGTCGATTCTGATTTGCTAAGTTCGCATAATCCTTGGTTGATTATTATTCCATTATCGGAATGACGTTGGAATAAGATTTTTGAGTGCCGATACTGTCTCTCTACGTTTGATGATACGATTAGCAGGTCCTCAATGCATACATGATCAAAATCGGGGTCTCGTGTAATGCTTTCGATAAACCTTCGGAGAGTTTGAGCAGCACTCCATGAACCGAATGGCACTCGTTGTAACTCAAAATGACTAAAATGGGTGGTGACTGAGGTTTCCTTGACATCTACTGGGGCGACAGGCATCTGATGATATACTTGTACCAGATCGATGTTATCAAAAGTGGCCGTGATCTTGAGTTTTTCCGTGATGCCATTTATGCGGGGTACCGGGTAGCTATTGAAACGGATAGTGACGTTGAGTGCTCTGTAGTCTCCTACTGGTCTTCAGCTTATTCCATCCTTCTTACGAAACATGTGAAGAAGAGAAGCCAAATGATTGTGAGCACAATTAACACATTTAGCTAGTCATGTGTCAAACTCACTGTTATCGAAAGTATAGTTACCTGGTGCTTTTCCCTTGACTCTCAAACCATGGGTGACGAAGAGGTTTACCTTACAATTATCCAACGAGGGAATCTTCACGAGACGTTTAGTTTAGTTTAGCTGAGGAAATTATATATATATATATATATATATATATATATATATATATATATCTTTACGCTACGAACTTCAGTTGTTCGGTAATCCAAATATGAGGAGTCTGAAGAACGCTAGTGAATAAGTTTGCAAATCAAGATTGATTGTGAAAATGTAACAAAGAATAATGTGTTCATTAAAATATCCGTCAAAAATGAAGCCCATTGGTGTGTAAGATAAAAATCGTTCGTTTATTTATTTTGAAAATTTGACTAGACTGTTGATTTTCAAACCCCATGATAGGATCTAAAATAGAAAGTCGATTCGAAGAATAATAAGATCAGAATTGTAAATTAAGCTTTGGAAACCAATTCAGAAAAGCTAAGTAAGTGTTGAAATTAGATATGAATTCGATCACTTCTGGTCATTAGTTATCGGTTATTAGTTTCAGTTAATGCAGAATTATAACAGTTGTAGCTTTATGATAATATATCTGTGAAGTTTACAGTAATGGATATGGTCAATACAAGCAAACTATGTAGTTTGTATGATGAAAATGGTTTCCAACTTTCCAACTAGAATATAGAAATCTTAGTTTTCTATGGATGACATGATATTCAACATGTGTGTTTTAGAACAATAAACTGAAATTAATATATCATCGTTTTTTATAATTTTATTAAAAGTTAATTCACTATCGTTTTCTCATTTGGTAAAGCTTCATGTGAACTCTTTTCATTCTAATAAAACATTAAAACTTTCTAAGTGTCCGAAAATTCATCATTTAGAATACAAATTTTTTCAAAGAACCCATTCAGAGTAAATTGATCATGGTTCCAGTGTCTTGAGTTTATAGTTACTACATCCTGCCAAGTTAACACAAAGAAATAGAACACTGACTATAAAGATAGTTTTAAAAAAATCCATCCACTATTGTATTTCGCAATATTAGTTCCTTTTCGGGAATCTGAACAGCCGGTTTTGTTTAGATTACTTCAAATGAAAGACTCGAAAGTTATTCCCCTCTGAAAAACTAAACAAAAAAAATACGCTTGAATTATATCACAAACTATTGCAAAAGTTACCAATGTTATGATCATCGTTTGAAGATTTTGTAACTGCTCGTGACCTAACTCAATATCTCAAGTCTCTGTATCACCAGATATATTTTTCTCTAATCTATAAAATATTTATATATAGGGAATAAATGATTGTTTAGTTTATTTGAAGTCTTATCTTTCTTTATTTCTTAAGCCAAAGAAATATTACTCTCAACTATCAGATATCTGATTTGCTTGAAAATACAACATATGCGTTCACAAAGCATAGTATTTTCAAATATTTTTAGTTAAAACAAAGTCAGACTTTCTGTGCTGAAGAAACGTCGGTATTTTTTCAGAAGAAATTACACAAGATCGTTAGGCATTTAATTAGAAATAAAACACTGATGAAAGTCTTTTCTTGATAAAAATATTATATAACCATTTATCTAAAAAATCGATCGATGTATATATATATATATATATATATATATATATATATATATATATATATGAGTGAATATCGGTTACATTGTAGGAATTACGCTATAAAAACACTCATATATTGTTTGTTTGCTGTTTGTAAGCTTTTTAAGCATAGGGTTATAAAGAAACTGAAAATATTTGTTAATACAAAGATGGAAAAGGCAAAAGAATTTGGATGGTACTAAAAAATACAATACCATCATAGATTCCTTTATACTTCCGACAAAATACATTTGTTTGCATTTCCGTTGTTTTTTTATTTACGTTTTTGTATTCTTCTTTTCATTTATATCCGTACATAAACCCATTAGTTACACTCTTATGTACGCATATATGTGCTCTTGAATGAATCTTTTCGAGTAATCATTAAAAAGTGAATTAGATGCGAGCATTTAAATTCACTAAAGTTTTTTTCTTGAGAAATCAAATGATAAAAATTGATTAAGGAAACAAATAATGAGCAAAACATCTTTGTATATTTATAATTATATACATTACAATAATAATTTTCGTGACTATGTCATCTTCAAGTGTAATTAGAATGCAAATACAATCAGCCTTATGCACTGAATTCATATACAAAAAGATAATATTTTACCACAAGTTATTATAATGAAGTGCTGATGAAATCTTCATTTACTATAATATTCTAACGAAGAGATTGTTTTAAAGTTGATTTACTTATGAGCATGTAACTGAACAAATGTTATAATGCGCACCTTTAACAGCTGATATTCATTTTTACTCAAAGATGCAATCACTTTTCTCTACTAAATATTTCCACATAACGTAAAGTAATGTACGATTAAATCTGCTTCTTTATATTATTTTCTACCTATGATAATCAGTTTAATGATACAAATTTATATTTTACTCTGACTGTCGACAAAAGTTTGAAATATTAAACAACTATTAAAAAACGAAACCAGATCGTTATCATATTAATGTCATTTTAATTATATGTAGGATAATTTCCATTGAATGCTATACCTCATAGCTGATATTACTTTTAATTCCATTAAAATAAATATGTCAATAAAGTCGAAATAGTAGGACTGTTATCATCATTAATATTAGTAGTTTTGACAGTGTTAGTATTGTAAGTGAACATTTTCCAACTTTTCGGGTGTTTTCAGACATTTTTCAGGACGATTTATGGCTACAGTGTTCTTTTAACACAAAATTATACCACAAAGCTCCGGGATCCAATGGTAAAGATGCTATAATTAAATTATCAAAATGGTGTTCAGAGGATCAATATTCTTGACTTCTCTCAATTAAGGAACGAGCATAGTTCTTTTTTAGTTGAACATGGGGAATTTTCTAAAACGCATTAGTAATTCATCAACCACTAAACTGTTTACTCATCTAAAAGATAATATGTCAAATTGTCATACTCATGCTGGAAAAATGTGTTAGTACAAATAACTAAGATGGAGAACAACCATTTCAAAAACCCTTTGTTTATTAATTTATGTTTACAAAATGTTTCGAATAACTTCGACAATCCACGAGAACATTTGTCAAAACTTGGAGCAATAGAGTGGAAGAAATTAGATGCTCAGTATGAAGAGCGTATTAAGTGTAAATATTGTCTTCGACGTAAACTCAGCGAATGAAATCAAAGTAATTCCTACGTTTCAATCAGCAAACTATCCAAAACTTCATCAGAAAAATAAACAATGACTTCAATTTTTTCGGTGATAGTTTGTTCATTTAACCTTTAAAATTATCTAGTAGTGTAGATGAATGCATAAGATACAAATAATTTAGGCAAACGTCTCATATTTGTAAAGGAATTATGTATCCTGTTAGGACAAATGAAAAGTTTTTATTGATCAGTTGAAGAATGGGACAAAATACTCATTTCATACTCGCCATTTAATTATTGACTGACTCAAGAGGTTGTAGGAAGCATTTTCTA